TCCTCATAGTTCATGAGTCATAGTTAATACAATTAACATTAGAATCATTTACTGAATTAGATATTAATTTTAGCTACTGCTCCCTTAATGCAGACAACAGTATTTACGAACATAGACATGTAATGACTAATACAGAATAGTCAGATTACGATATGTCCTATCACGGAACATTTCCATGATAATTTACAGTCTACCATAAGTAAATTACAATCACAATGATTCGAACTGTAAGCAGATGATTTGCATTCCCTATTATAACTATTATAATTTCAGTATGTGTATAAGTGTCACTGTCATAAAAAGTCAGTGCTATATTAAAATACAGTATATCCAAATTAGAAGTTAACTAAATAAGGATAGTCTAACAGAATTATCCTAACATAGTTATTTCTACTGTAATACAGTATTTAACACTGTAACACCGAGACTAGACCTAAGTTTTTTACCCACCATAATTTCGAAAGTTCATGACATATTCAAAATTTATTCGGCTCTATCAGCACTTTTTATAGGAAATAATGTTCCCTTGTAATTGTATTATGAAACATTTAATTACGATTAAAGCTTTCCAAGGGAATAACCGAATTAAAAACTTGAAAATCTGCTATAAATCGCTAAAGATCCACAGAGATAAACCTACGTATTTAAGCTACAGATTTATTACAGTTGCAATAATGCAAAACCTCATTCTTTATGTCGTACTAGTCGAGTTTATTTAAAAATATAACATTGCTATCCATCTAATTTTGCGTAGCACTAACCTGAAACCAATATAACACTTTTATAATTTATCAATTTCGCTCAAAATATTCAATCTCGTTCCCTCAGAGTATCTTACACTAGGTTATTTTAGAATAAATTTAGTTCTATGTTCAATCCATTAATCGCCGCTACAGAAAACCATCTGATATTAAACTATCGGACCTACATTTTATCCTATTTGCAACAGAATATTCATCGGCTTTATCACAACCTTGGAATATAGTTGATATGGAACAGGCTATCGTAGAAGATGAATATCCTTATGTATTAGGTAAGGGCTTTAATTACTAATATGTTAGCTACACTAAAATTGCAATTTAATTGTTAATTTAAGAGCAGTTAAAAAACTTACAGGCAGTAAATTTTGTTTATAATTTACAGTTTCTAGAGTCTCAAGCCAGTATATTATCAAGGTTTTCCAGCTGAAATGAGGGTTTCTGCAAATGTTTATAGTGCTTGTGTAGTATCTGTAAGATACATTCTAAAATCCTAGAATCACTTAACAGCGCTTTAATTTCTACAATTTTTTGGCTTAATATAGCTTCTGAAGTGCAAACAGATTTCTTCACCTTTTGACCAAAATAGATTTCAAGTACTTATTTAGCCTTTAATAAAAATATATCATTTAATGACAACAAAAAATATGAAATTTCATCAGAATATTCTACTAAATGCAGACTGCATATTGATCTTCACTACATAACAAAATTTAACTGTACTACTAAGGTAGATAAACATGAGACAACACATATATGGCTGTTTTAATTAACCGAATTTTTGAGATTGATTTCAGCAAATAAAATGGCCAGTAACGCCACTATTATTGTATTAAATTGATGTTATCTACTAACACGATAACTATTTTATAGAATGTGAGAAATATTACGAAATTATAGTAAAAAACATTGGTAGAAAATGGTTGGCTCTTGGTAATGAAGTATGCAAAGATCATGCAACATATTGCTATGAAGTTATGGATAGCTTTTACACTTTTGAGTCAAGAGCATCCTATATGTTATATTACGGCAAAGTCGTGAACAAAACTTTTAAAGAGCTATTAGAAATTATGATCAAAATAGGCTGCCGGGATATTGCTGAACAATTACGTAAGATGTTTCACATCAAATTTTCATAGATGCAAACAATTAAGTTATCTCTTCTTTAAGCTATTTAAAAAGGCTAGATCTTCTAAATGTCTACAGTCATTCCATTATGTACATTAGCATAAGTATTATGTTCACCTTATAGTTTGAAAAGTAATTGACTTACTAATTTACTACAAGATAGAATCTCATTAATCTACAAATTGCGTAGAATTATTATGGACTGAAATATCAAAACCTGTTGTAGATAAACCTCAAGCCTAATCTGTTATTATTCAATCCAAGTTGACCTTAGGGAAAAAGAGCAAAAACGCATTGGTAACCAAGGTGCGATCAAGATGTATTAGAAATACAGTTATAATTAAACCTTAACCCATTTATATCAGCTGTTTTTTTTAAATTTAGCGTTTATTTCATCTCAATTTTAACATGTACAATTTGCTATATTGCAAACAAATCATCTTAAAATTTAAAAAAATTACAATACTACTTTCTGTCAGAAAGTTTTGATATTAAAAATTACTATACCTATTGAAGGATTTGCGTTTTATCTAATTGCTATAGAATACTTATTGCAACACATACCCATAATCTCCAATCATCACAACGTTCTCTACAAAGAATTTACTAAGAATATTGGTAAACAATTGAAGAGAATTGATCAAGATGGAGGTCATATCTTAATACATGGAGGTGTTGGAAGTGGTAAAACTACGGCTGTCTGTCAATCTATTCAAAGAGCTATTGAGAATGAAGGCTGCTTTAAATTTTATAGCTGCTATTGGCTTCGAATTGGTACTGTGACTTATACTTATATTCAGAACATACTAATGCCAGATCCTTTAGGACACGAATAATTTCAATCCTTCTGTCGCACTTTAATTTCTAACTGAATAAAATTGAAATGGAGTTGGTAGTATTAGATTTCCTACCTAGTATATATTAATGTAACATAACAAACTAGATTTTTCGTTACTACGTTTAGCATTTATCCTTATCATAATCGAAGTTATTAAGAGACTTTAGAACTATATTTTACCGTGAATTCTTACAATGGCCATACATCCAAACTACCGTATAATCAACTCATATTTGTAATATATCGACGCAATTAATAATAATTACCTATAATAGATCTTAAATTAACAGTAATTAAAAACACCATTACTTTTAGGAATATAACTCCACGGTTCTCCATCAATAGATTGTTGCTATTGATTTAGCTGCGATAGCATCCACTTTACTTTGTGTATTAGATTTATATACTAAATTTTACCAAGTTTCATTGTCACTTCAAAATATTGTAGACTAGTATTTCTTCTCATTGAGCTTACTTTGAACACTTAATCTATTTATATCTAAAGATAGTTCGTTTAGTAATAGCTCTGCTACTGTAATATCGATAATTAGCAAATATATTTCCGTCTAGTTCGATAATTCTCCTTTAGTGCCTAGTATAGTAAATAAACTTTTCTAAATAGCTACATTGTTAAGTCGTACAATAATTCTTATTTTTGATGGTATTTAGGAAACATTTCGGACTTTCAGCTGTTTCTCAAATTGAACCATTTACTATTGGACTTGGAATGGGGCGAGGATAATTTACCGGATGATCTGGAAACCTTCAAGAAGAAAGTGCAATATTTCCATAAAGGTAACGCTAACAACATTACTCCTAGAATCATTATGATCGTTCATTTTTGGTACTTGATTGTCACGAATGGCGAAAAATTCTTACTCAATCTGGCTACAATAATGACTTTGTGACAAAATGTCTTCAATTCCAGGTATAGAAAACTGCAACACGTTATTCATATTTGATGATATCCGCAAAGAACATCATTATGAATTCTTGGATTTTGTTAAGAAATCGATCGTCACATCACAATACTCAAAACCTCAAAACATGGATAAATATGAATATTATAAAATGCCGGTTAGTATTTTTTTCGAAACTACTTCATCTAATTTGCAAGTGATTTATCACAATCGTAGAAATATTTTTTGTTACCTTATGGAATTAGCTAACTATGTGTTTATACTGCAGATAAATATTTTTATTACTTGCTGATACCGTTGGTAATAGTAAGAAAATCACAACATATATATATTTTTGATATCGCTTGCATTTCTAATTGTAAGAATAACTTTAATCGCGGAAGAGAGATATACAGTATTCTGATCGCGATTGCAAATACCTCAAAGTAGAGAGAAGTCCATATGTTATAATTTAAACTCTGCCACAAGGAAACGTTCGGTAAAAGTCTATAACTGCTGACTTAAACGCTTTCTTACTATATACACACAGAAAGTACCGTAAAGATAAAACTTTTATTAGCATAAATACATCTACAACTTTTCATCACACAACTCAACTCAAATGTTCCCGTTTATATAGGAGCCATCTAATTTATAAACAACTATAGTATTATTATTATACCTTACTAGGAGAGTCATCTCGAACTGAGATGTTTCTTACGTAGCTTTTCTATCAGTAAATATTGTTAGATCTACTACAGTATTGTACACAGATTATCTCAAATATTAAGAATTAGAAGTGTGTGTAGAAACTTTTCAAGTAATTTGCTATAATCCAAAAGCAACAAGCAGTCCGCACCACTAATGATCTATAAACTATACTGTAGGACATGACTATCATTCTATATCACGAACTAATCAGGGAAAATTTTATGATTCTAACGTCAAGCACTTATTTTGAGTTGTTAACAAAGATTATTATCAAAATCTAAAGTTTATTAGACACAATGTGCTATCAAATCAACTTAATGTGATCATACATGTGTCACATTGTTAGAAATATTTGACAAAAAAATATCGATCTCTATACTGATCAAAATAAAAATCATCTTCCACTCTATAATATAATTACTAGGAGGCTACATCAATTTAAGGATCTAAATACTTAACTGCTTAATACACAGTAAACAAAAATTATCGTAAAAATTATTAACAATGTAAACATCAAGCTTGACTGCGAAGCTAATTCATCAAAGCCACATTCTATGGAAAAAGAGGCTATATATTAAAATTACATTAAATAAATTAAAGCGGCATGTTATGGTTTGTATAAAATAAGGATGTCAGTGGGCCGTAGCTGATGATGAAACGGTGAAGTAATGTAGTAGCAGTGAGGCTATCACAAAGCTTATTATCATAAATTTTTGTAAAATTAAGTAGAAATTTTAAATTATTACTCATTAATGCAATTACTAAATTCTGTCAGGAACAATTTACATTCGATAATGCATTACAAGTATTAGCCCAACATCAAAACGACAGCAATCTACCAAAGTCACGTCAAAACCGGGAAATTTCTAGGGTTATCGAAGTTTGCAAAAATCATCCTTCGGCAATCGATATCATTAGTGGTCTACATTTAAGGAACGTTAAAGATTGGCAACAAGTTGCCTCTATAATCGACAATCAAGCACAAAATAATGAATCAAGCACAACCGACTTCAAATTCCATCGAATTTTCGATTTAAGTATCCAACAGTTGGATAAAAATGATCGCCACTTATTTCGCTCACTTGGAGCATTTAAAAAACTTCCAATACCGATTGATTCTATCCAATCTTTATGGAAGTGCAGCCAATCCGAAACAGTCTCATTATTAAAGAAATTCCATCAGAAATCTCTTCTACGATATAGAGAAGAAAACAGGTAGAAATTAAACTTTACACAAATATATAAATGTATTATAGGTAAGTATCAACTTCGACAAAACATAACTGACGCCAAATATTAAATCATAAGTTTTAGTTTTGCTTCATTTAATCATATTGCTTATCGTTTCATATCTCAGTCAAATCTTAATAACTAATTGTTGTTTGTTTATGCGTACACTCAGTTATTCATCAAGCTGCTGTATTCTTACCGAAGTTATGGTAGACTTTCTGCAACAGCCATTACAATCAGATCAATCAATTTCAGATTATAATAAAATACTCAATCAAGCACTAATCCATGGTTATGCTCATCGATGTGAAAGGAAGTGGTTTACGCATCCGGATGACGGCTATTTCTATCAATATCTTATATTTCATGTTGTGCAAGCAGAAGATGTAGTGTCTTTAGAGGAAATTGTTCGTGATTTTGATTGGATAACCAATAAACTTAGGTCGTGTAAATTGGCCAAGGAACTTTATTCAGATCTTCAAAAATGCTTGGATTATTTTTATTTTAATGGAGAAATAGAGGTACTACACTTAACTTGTTTATATATTTTGGGCATTTAAATATAGTAAATACATCAACTACTTTAGAGTATAATTACATGACTAAAATGTAGAGATTATAAATAAACGTAATCTTTACACCATCAACTTTGCACTGAAGTTTCAGTAATATTACAGGATCTTCTGTTGCAAATTGATCGATTACAGGATATTTAAAGGACATCACTGTTCTATGATTATCTATAACGATATGACTTCTATTAAATTCATTACCGACATACCTTTTTTGTTTACTCTAAATTTATTCTAAACGTTTCTTTAATATCTAAAATGCATTAGCTAGTATGCAATCAATACTAAAATTATTAATCGTTCTTCAAATGTAATTCTTAAAGTTAAATCATTCTTTGCCAGAAAACAAGAATGCATAAATTCGATAATTTCGCATTTATAGTTACTGTCAGCAACCTCACTACTCGAAATACAGCTTAGAGTTGTTGCTCCCCTTCCACTCTATCACACCGATAAACCACTTGCTTAATTTGCTACGTACAGTCAATCTTATAATTGATATAATCAAATTTCAGTTTTTACTGTTAGATCTATTAAATAACCTCTCTGGTTAATTTAAATAGATTGCATCAGAACTATATGAGAGTGATAGGCCTGCTTTACAAATAATTAATTTCGTCGATAATTTCTGCTCGTCTAGAAATGGTTCAATATTCAAGAATTGTACCAGTTACTAAATACAAATGCACCTTACTTGCATATTAAGACAATGGATATAGTACAATTTTTACTAATAAGCAACAGAAAAGACAACTGGATTAACAAACAAGCCATGAAGTTAGCTGAACTAAATGGGAAAAATCAAGATAATGATTATTGGAAAGCCACAGGGTGGAAAATTACTGGGTAAGCTATGTTTATTACGCTGTATCCTATTTGCATGTAAATTAAAGTAATTCGAATATGGAATAGTGTCAATTAATAAATAATTAATCCCATCTTTGCATAACCCACTTCTAGTAATAACAATGAAATCAAGCAGACAGACTGTAAATGGATAGATCGAAAAATAATTCATACTGGACATAGATCTATTATTGACAGTAGCAATACTCGGGACATTATCAACTGCTCTAGTCCAAAATATGGTGATTTAAGGATTGTCCATGCCAACACGATTGATTTAAAACAATATTCCATTACGGTAGGCAGTTTTAGAACCAAAAATGAACTAATTAAAAAGCCAATTTCTATCTGATTTTAGTTTGCCTATCTGTATTATTTGTACATGAATAAAATGTTAAATTTGACGAAGTATATAAAAGCATGCGCTCATACAGGTCCGCCACTATCTTTCTTCGAAAATTATTCTTGAAATAACTCCCGCTAATCATGCAATTCAAAGTACAAAAATTTCTGCAAATGGATCTTTGATAGCTTATGCCTACGCTGATGTTCAGGTGATTTGTAAACCAATGTTAAGAATGCAATATGCTACTCAAATTGAATTACCCTGTAGATAGATTCATTCTTTTACATTTAATTAAAATTAAATTTTTCAGTTTTGGCGAATATCGTTATTCTTTAAACATTGCTTTCATTAGTTTTTGTTCAAAATAAGCATAAACTAGCTTTGCAAATCAAGTTAAACTAATTGTTATAAATTTGAAGTCTCAGTACACGATTATTTATTTTAAGCTTTTAATTTGCGTAATAATATATGACGAATTAAGTATGAGCATGTTGGAATTGACCATATTAAATTTCATTATCGTCATTTATCGTGCTAATAGATTTCTGATGCTCTCGGAGTGTTTTAGTTAGTATTCTTTCATCTACAGTTGATCTACTTGATCCTCTGCAAAAGCTAATAAATCTAATTTTAAACATACTATTATTACTATATTGCTGGCCAAATATCAATATTTTGGTATATAACGTTGAGCTCATATTTAATGATAGACATCCGATTGGAACTGGATCATCTATAACGTTGATACCAAACAGCAACTTTCCTTTATGGACGATAATGAGGCTACCGAATCGAGCTTATCATTTCGAAATTTAGACTTTCACCCGGGCAATGATTGTATTATTATGACGCAATCCATGGATAAGAAAACCGTTAAGGTCAGAGATACATCCTGAATATAAGTAGCAAGGGCTAAAATTACTTATTAATTTTATCAAATAAAATAGACGATACCAGGAATTATTTATGCTATATTACAGATCTGGCAGATTCGCGATAATCAAATTCAAGCGATGAATAAGCAAAATTCTTATACAAACGAGATACAATCATGCCAATTTATTAGAAATGGCTTGAAACTTTTATTATGGTTTAAAAATTATGAATATGATTCTAGCAATAAGCGTAAAGCCATGGAATGGAGAAATGAATGCCAAATAGAAGTTAGTACCGAAATAAATAAATTTCCTGAATATTTAAGAAAGTATATGAAATAGGAGTTGTTAAAATAAATCCCGCCAAATCTTTAAAAATAATATTATATTGACGACGAAATAGATTTGGGATGTAGAAACATGGCAATGCCTATGGCTATTTCAGGTACCTGATTGGGTTTATCTCTCAGAAAATTTTCTCCAAATATCTTCTAAATTTGAACATGGTCAATCTTTACAAATCGTACTACCTGGAGGTGATGATGATACATGGATAATCTTAGCCTATAAAGAAAATTTGGCGCTTGTAAAATTAACAAATGAGAATACTAGTTCAAGTCAAGAGCTAGTTAAGCATTGTAAGCTTCTATTTGAAGGTAAACGTATGTCATCTAGAAATATAAGAAAAATCATTAGCTCAAGCGATCATCATTACCTAGGAATTAGCATGACCGAAGACTCAGTAAGCATGCTGCTACACAATTCATAATATAATTTACGATCTCAGTTATATGATCATTTTGATTTGCTATACTGTACTTAATGACATAAATATTTTATCCTTGCAGATGTGGATAATTAATGTTACAAATGGCGAAATCGAATCATATTTGAAGATCACAACACCTAATGTCTTGCATGAGAAAATGTTTATACCCGGAACTCATCATGTGCTTGCTTATGGAACTCTTCCAATCTGCTTATCCAATTATTTATCCTTATACGAATATAATCTAGACAGTAAGCTTATCATTATTTTTGAGCAAACATGCAGCAGTTATTAGTTATTTTTTATCAATATTGACGACTTTTATGCATATATGATTTGAAATTTTATCATAGCTGAAAATCAACCATGGCGGACCAGAGAAGCTCACCAAAATTTATGTAACGATTCTTACAGAAGCTATTTAGAACGAAAAGTTTACCATAAATATTGCCAGGCAAATATAGCATTTGCTAACAATATTCCCTTTGCTACGCACTTAATCGAAACCGAAATTAATGAGGATTTCAACAAATATCAGCTAAAGGTAAGAGATTAATGTTGACTGCTTATAATATTATTTTAACCGTTTTACTAATCTATCAATTTTTTTATCCAATTCTTTACTTTAGATTTATCAAGGAGAGACATTATCAACAATATCATGTCATGATTTGGATCAAGAATATTATGCATGTGCAATATGCGATGATTTCCCATCAGTTTTTCTATTTGGAAGATGTGAATGTAATCATGTCGATTGCTATGGAGAAGATTTAGTGATCCATGATCATCTTTTAATTACTGAGGTAATGGCCAATTTCAATATGCATTGATGATAAAAAAATATACAGTAGATCCTAAAGTTATTTAAATAAAAACTAAATTATAAAATGTGATAATATACGTGTAATGGAATAGAAATATTCGCACTTTAAGTAACTATAGTGATTGTAACGAGTTACAGCAGTTACTTATTTTGAAAATTTGATATTAATATGAAATAAAGTATTAAGTGATGTAGAAGATTTGACTGTTCTTTATAAGCAATCATGGATTATGGTTGATAAGATGATATTTTGACAACTCAAATTTGGCGATAGCGAATTGTGAACATTATGGGCTAAAATCGTATTCATTACATAAGCCTGCACTAGAAAGGATTCTGTAACTTCGGATACATAGATAAATTTAGCCTTCTCTAAGCGTAGATAATTGTAAATTAGATTCGCATAACTATATTGGTATATCAGTTTTAATAATGTGCTTATTGCATTCATAATTATATTTATATATTTAGTTGATCGACATATTAAACAAGCATACCATTCCAAACAACCAGAAGAAGGTCCAGTACCGTTTTAGAATACCTGACAAAATTAAATCTGTGTTCGTTATGGAGGCAAGATATAGAAAGCGCGATGAAACGTTAATATTTGTAGTTATAGCAAAGGTAATTATGAACCCTATATTATGGTACGTAATGTCTCATGATACGGCTATGTTAATGACGTCCGAATGCATTATTTGTTAAAAAAAACTTAGAGGACTACTTAAGTTGATCTTAATCATCAATTCATTTTAGTAATTATAGACATGATATTAAAGCATAATTATCTGTGTTCTCCTTTTACTAACCTTAGCTTGAACCTTCTACTGATGATTCTCTCGATTTTGAGACCGAAAAACAACTTATGGTAATAACCATAAATTACCATAATGGACATACGAATATCTTCGTCGATGAAGACATTTGCTATAATATTACTGTCAGTTATTGCGACGATTCCTATCTGGTAACTTGCATGGAAGAACGACCCGAGGACTTGATAGTAGCGGTAATTCCTGAAAAGACTATATATGCATATAATGTTATCATGAAAGCAGTCAAAATACTGATATATTTATACAGCTAATTGCTCTTTATCATTGATTTAAAGTATGATCAATGCAATGCTCAATATTTTATGTCAATTAAGTACCCTCAAGTAAAATATTTTTGATTATACAGCGGTATAAAATAGGTGATGAAACGAAGGAAACAGAATATACAGAAGCATTTCAATACGATGAAGACCTTGGTTTGTGTGGTAGAATAATTCTACCAGATGATCCATTAACATCTGATCCCGAGGTTGAATTTTTATATCCTAATTTCGAGAAAAATGAGGAAATATTTGAAAAGTGGGGGGAGAATGATGGAAATACTATGGCAAGTCTCGTACTGATATGAATCAATTCCTTCGTTTACTAACCCCATTACTATTTTAAGTAAGAATAAATCTAATATTATTCATTGTAATATTGGTTTGTTTGGTAATTTAATAATATCAGGTGGATTGTCTTGATCTTCGTTATAACGCCTATTTTCTAGTCAAAAAGGGAGACCATGTCACGGTACGTAAGACGATGCATAAAAAAATTAGAAAACCTTTTTCCACTGGTACTTTGCTGTAATCATGAATATTTATTCATCTGTAGTGCTTCGATGTAAAAAAGAAAGTTTTTAAGAAAGGCTACAAGGACAAAGTGATTTTGATTAAGAGATGTAATTATTTCAATGTGCAAAATTTATGGTCGGATCGATTTTTCTTAGTATTTGATGACAACTTTGAAGAGAAAAAACTAAAAATTTGCATCTATGATGCAAAATCTCTGCAATTTCTGTACGAGTTACCATTCCCTTCGTATGATATTAAGGCTATAAAATGGAATAGTGACCAGTCCGCATTTATTACTGTTGGATTGGAAATGTTTACTGTCATCAAATTAATTACTGAACCCGGTAGTAAATAATCAAATCCGACCTAGATGCACTGACATTTTGCTATATGCCAACCACTAAAAAGCTCAATATCGGTGGTCCTCAAACATCATGAAATGCAAGGACAGAAATTCAAATTAAACGGTAAAGTATCTTCCAATGTATAGCACTTTTTTTAAATCGATTATTTCTAACGAAAAATGAATCATTTTGATTTTTGTATCCTATCAGTATTTTTACGCTAACTTGTAAGTCTTGTTAACTGTCTTACGATATCTATTTTCGCTTAAATTTTTTCAACTTATCGACGCGGCGAATATAGATTTATAAACTTAAGATTACACTTCTAATAACAGCATTAGGATACTTTTAAGCTATTTTAAATTATAAATTTATCCCTAAAATCAGCATTTGCTAAACTTTGACGGTAGACAAATACGGCTTTATCTGCATTAATCTCGAACGTATTCAATTTAGCTTCGCAAGTTACTGTTAGCTCTCAAGTCTAAGGGCTTTATGACTAGGAATAAACGCATGGTTTAAACTATGTCAAGCTGCAGTAAGTGTAATAACGTTAAAAGTATTCATTTCTATTTTTTATTTCTTAAAATACGAATTTGACTTACAGAGCGACATTCTTTCAATTACGTTTTATATAATGTTTGTATTAGAAAATAAAGTTCGACTAAATACACTAAAAGTATGTTTTACTGATTGCAAGATTTACTATATGATTAGTAGCGTGAAGTGGCAGTTATATATCAAACAGTTTTTGATGATACTAATATTGCTGAAGGACCAATAGCCAAGGCCATCTGCCGTAATTATGAACAACCTAAGAATAATTTTCAAACATACTTATTCAAAGGAAAATTTAAATCAATCTATCCAAATGCTAAGTAAGAATTCTTACACTAACTAGTGCAACTATAACACTTTTTTATTTCAGTAATTAAGAATTCACGTGTACTAATATTCTAGATTAAAGTTTCGATTTGACGTTTTTATAAGCAGGTTTTATTGCATTTATAGTAGAATTAAACTTAACACTTTATTTATATCTATATGTTCCGATGAAATATCTTACATAACTTAATATTTGCTAAATTATGATTAGAAATTGATTAATTTAATACTAAGACGGTAAATTTTATAAAATTAGACTGTACTTTTAATCCGTACCGATGGAGACTCTTTAAAGTAAAAGTCTTTCGTAACGCAAAATTTATTTGCGATAGCATCGTTCTATCACTGTCCTATATTAAGCAGGGCCTCATAGATTTAATATGTTATACTATGCAGATGGCAATGTCGATGTTGTGCATTTCGTGAATAAATGAGGATTTGATAGTATGAAAAAATTTATCCGCATTACTTACTTAGAGAGTAACTGACAACAATCCATTCATAAACCCGTAAATCAAGTTCAGTATCTCGAATTCCCATCAAAAGAATAATAATTTTGTAGTAAATATAATCCAGATCGATATAGAAAAATGCCGATAAAATTTTTGGCACAAGCAGGTAATTGCTATATAAGATTATTTATTACGTTCGCGTAAATTTTAAGATAAATGAGATTTATTCAAGTTTTAAGTATGAAAGCACACAATTTATACAACTTAAAATTACAACTGAATTACAAAGAGGATTAACGGCTGCTCTACTTGAACATTTTAACACTATCTATTTGTACACTTCATGAGATGTCGTGTATATGTGTATTATATATACATCCACAGTATTTTAGTTTATCAGTCTAAAGACGTACAAATACATATAACACGAGAAGATGTTATAGCTCTCGACCAAATTGTAGGAAATTACTTGTATTATCATAGTTCCGTCTTTACTCGTTTTTGCAATTTAGCGTTAAGACCTGTATTTAACGCTTTTTTTATAAGTTCTACAAATTCATCCACTTTAACTATAGTATCTGCTTGGCCGTGATAATTATCACCAGGAACATCATGATTCAAATGTTCGTGTTGATTATGCCACTCTAAGTAAGGACCTCGAACGCTAAGCAATGAGCCAAATTCCTTGAAGTTAAGTTGAGCTTTGTATGGTACAAGCTGAATGTTTACAGCACCTTTTGGCAAAAATAAACCATTCATTAGACCAGCTCCGTTCATACCAATCAGCACCGAATATTTCCGCATCAATTTTACCTGGATATTTCAGTACATGCAAATTTAATGTCAACTATGAAAGTCTGATACAATTTATTGCAATGAATAATAAATAACTGTACTCTGAGATTGACTAATTTGTATTACCTGCTGCTTAAATGTCATTCCATTAAAATCGACTAGCTCGATATTAGCCAAGCTTTTAACAGAATTGATGAGTTCATCTTGATTTAGAATTAATCGGCGATTGGTTCTAAGAATAGCATTGTGTGTTTTTAAAACTAAGATTTTATTACATTACAAATATAATACTCGAAGACTGATTAATACTAGAAACTCAAGCATGCCCTTCATTTTAGCTCTTCAAGACTTACCGCTTAATTAAAGCTATTCGAGCAGCCTTAGGTGTAGTTTTTTTTATACGTAACCTCCTAAGAATAAAGCTTATATATCCTCGAATGAGTTTTTTATCAGTAAATTCAACTCTAGGAGTCTAAAGAGAGTATCAACATATGAGTTTAAATACTAATCATTCTCAAACATTTCTGAGTAAGATCAATATCATACAGATTATATACTGTAAATTGTCAGTTGTAGAATGACAGTGAAGTAAGCCTCAACTATACCTATCACAGTGAAGAAATTTTGAAACGAATCAAATAACAAGAGTTTCCTGTAAGTTCATTATATTACTATACTGTACTCACTCCTAGTTTTGCTTCTTCAAAGCACGTTTTAGCGTTAGGGTACTGATTAAATGAAGCTTTTGACATGGGTAAGAAGGCATGAGGACCAGTTAATACCTTTGTATTGGAAGCAAGTCATTTTAATCCTTGATAACGATTAATTAGCAAATTTAGCTTTAACCATAGTAAACAATAATAATTAATCATTCATATCCCTAGCATGTCGTACCAATATACGTGTATCACTAATCACTGCAACAGTATTGAGTAGAACAGTCAAAGTATCAATTGATTTTCTATCATTTTATCCACTTTCAACTATGAATTAGCCAACCTTCAGCGCTTCCATAAAATAGCTATCTTTATAAGTACTTGTGAAAGCATCGGTGTCCCAATCTAGAATCTACACCAATAGAATCAGGGATTTTTAGGGTTAGAATTGTATGGATATGGATTTAAAACACAGTCCCAGAATGACTACATAACAATGCAAGCGCATGGCAGCTGTGCCACTCAATTGAGTCAAAGTATCAAAGCAAGGTCATTGCATTTTATACTGAATGAGTTTTTATAAGATATCAAGAATGGCTTATGTAGCCTATTCTCATGTGTGCATGATTAATGCATTAAAGGAATACTGTACCGATTAATTTATTCTATTCTATATCCGTCTATCTTAGATATCATAATAGGAATCACATGCTATCGATTCGATACTGTTCACATAGAATACAAATTTAAATTAAAGACGTACTTCCATTCGTTTTTTTTCCACTGTTGGCATTAAGACAATTGATTGATTGCTTAAAGGCAGTTGATTGCTACTTTCAATAAATCTCAACTGGCTGTAAATGGGTATTAAGGTGTCATAATGAAGATGGAAATTGTTGGAATGACCATAATAGAAAAAAAATGTAAATATAAAAGCTTTATGGTAAAGGTGATGGCATTGAATATCGGATTTGATATTGACCGTTTTAGTCGTCCACAATTGGGTACTCCATGCAGGATTAGGAATTGAATGAGTGGTATTGAGATAGAAAATGCGATCAGAATGATGAAAATAAGCCTTGGTTAATGTACAATAATCTGGTGGATAATGGCCAGGGCTGCAATTAATTTTGGATTTGTAAGACCACGGATGTTGGCTTGTTCTCCTTGCATCGCCAGGTTGTGCTGATACCACCACTAAACAGGATGCGAGCAGAACACAATAAAACATGGAAAATAAACTCCAGATAGAATAGCCATGGTGAAATCCAGACATTTGTCACAGCACCTCTGCTAAATCCTCTCTGCCCACTTGGCCAGTAATTAATTACAATCAATGTTCAGTATGAATGAATTTGCAATCTGTACAGTAGATTCGCTGAATGTTACTGTGGCAACGGTTGCACGAATGATCGTTGCGGGTTCAGGTCCAGTGGGACACGTTCAAGGTAGCAGGCTTGTAAGAAAGGCTTAGGCAATTGCAAGCGCCTCCCACTACGGAAGATTTTTGGCCCAATATTAATTTGTTATTGCAGATGTAAGATTTCAATTCAGCAAGCCGCTCTGATCGTCCAATTCTCCATCATGTTGTGACTTGTGAATGCCCAATGTGCACTCTGCAGTACAGTACAGTACAGTACAGTACAGTACGTGAAGTACAGTACATGTAGGCTGTACGGTACACTGTACACTGTAAAGAGTTAACAACAGTACAGTACAGTACACTGTACCGTAGATGTTCAGAGGTACAGTACTGTACACTGTACACCGTAGATGTTCACTGATGTACTATGGGATTCTGCGCAGAGGCGAGGCGATGAAGGTACGTATAACACTTATACAGTACAGTACGTACGTACAGTACAGTACATAAAGGCTGTACTGTAAACTGTACACTGTAAAGAGTTAAACTACAGTACAGTACAGTACTGTACACCGTACTGTAGATCTTCAGTATGTACTGTACTGTACTGTACTATAGGAGGTAAGTACTGTAGTGTGTACTGTATATAACTGTACTTTACATTAGTACTGTGGACGTTAGCCAGTTTTAATGAACGAACGTACGAACGTCCAATTTGAACGTCGGACGTTCATTGAACGTACCAACGTACACAGTGTACAGTGTTAACACTACAGTATATAGTGTACACTGTACAGTGTACAGTACGGTAAGACTATACTGTACGTAACAGCGTACAGTATACTGTAGTCATGACTCTGAAATACTGTACAAAGTCTTGTAAAAGACGTTTGTACTACTGTACAGTACTGTACTGTATGTACAGTATAGTATTGGGGTGGGATTATACAAACTGACTGTATACACTGTACTGTACACTGTACAGTACAGTTCGTCGACGTCCGATCTGACAACGAACGTACATACCGAACGTCCAAAATCGAACGTCCAAAATCGAACGTCCGTTGGACGTCCAATCGCTCGACGTCTACACTCTACAGCACTACTTTACATACAGTACTGTCCTTTACCACTAGTATCATTCATGATGTCATTCATAGTCATAAGGAGGGCCATTTTATCTGCATGGCATCTTTACATACTATACTTAGTATCATTGATGATGTCATAGTCATAAGGACGGTCATTTTACCTGGATGACATCATGGATGCGATCATGACGCATCGACTCAGTCAATGCCAAAAGCAGTGACACTGCTACAGTGGTGCAGTGGAGGGTGACACTGTACTGTACACTCACTAGTGTCCAGTTGACCCTACCAGGCCAGTGTAGTCCAGCAGCGAATGATGCGTATACCAGTGTCATACCACGGTGTTGTCACTTCTCTGTACTACGTTGTTCAACTTCACTCAGTTCGTCTACCTTTGCCTGGATAACTTGTCCAATCTTCTCTGTGGTTGTATCCTCATCGATTTTTCGCAATGGATGCTTGCCCAAGGTGTCCAATGTTATCTTTTGGCTTAAAAGAGACAAAACCTGTGGAATTTGGCCTTACTTTGAAATCAGTAAGTCGTCATAAAGTACAATATCGACAATGACATAACATGGCTTGTTGTGCTAGCGATACTACTGTAGGGGACAATGTATTATCAAGCGATAGTGCAGCCAAATTGCCAATCATTTCATTGCTAGATTGAAGGCGATTTTCATTGCCAATAGGACTGAAAATCGGCGTAGATCAGTTGTCCAGTCTTCATCAATGATGCTGTGTTCAACGGACAAATGGAGAAGAGAAATAGCTCTCGTCTTCTACTGTTGATGTTGGATACGATCGCAGTCATGCTACTCTTTCAATCCATTTCGATATATACATTAGTATTGTCGTTCGTCTAGCGATGCCTTCACTATGGCTTCATTGACCAATATTGTGCCAAACTCTTACTGGTACAACGATCGCCTTTGATCTTTGATGACACAATCAGGACTGACGAATACACTCGTTACTATGCAATCATGGCGGCACTCTCCAGATGATTACTCCATATTGCATGGATTGGAATCATGACGTCAAGATGTTATTTTTACCTTCTTGAGTCTTGACATCCTTGTAGAGATTGTTGATAATTCCATCTTGATTGTGACTAACAGGAAACACAACTTGAAATGGCCATAGGATCGATGAATGTAAAGATATCATACACCAGTTTCAGTACCTTACCCGTTATTCGCCATGTCGTATTGATGTTCAATTCGATCCATCATGTCGATAGATGAAAGCAGCGATTGACTTCTAATCTTGACTCTTATACGAGTAATATTGCTAAGTGTATAAGTCAATCCTGGTTGCAATTCAATCAAATTGCACTTTTAACCAAGATGGCTAATAACCCGTTATTAGCCATCTTTGATAGATATTCAATTCTACGTAACTTAAAATTACCATACGATACATCAGTTTCAGCACCTTACCCGTTATTCGCCATGTTGTATTGATGTTCAATTTGATCCATCATGTCGATTGATGAAAGCAGCGATTGACTTCTAATCGAGACTCTTATACCTGTAATAATGCAAAGTGTACAAGTCAATCCTGGTTGCAATTCAATCAAATTGCACTTTTAACCAAGATGGCTAATAACCTGTTATTAGCCATCTTTGATAGATATTCAATTCTACGTAACTTAAAATTACCATACGATACATCAGTTTCAGCACCTTACCCGTTATTCACCATGTCGTATTGATGTTCCATTCGATCCATCATGTCGATAGATGAAAGCAGCGATTGACTTCTAATCTTGACTCTTATACGAGTAATATTGCTAAGTGTACAAGTCAATCCTGGTTGCAATTCAATCAAATTGCAACCTTAACCAAGATGGCTAATAACGGGTTATTAGCCATCTTTGATAGATATTCAATTCTACGTAACTTAAAATTACCATACGATACATCAGTTTCAGCACCTTACCCGTTATTCGCCATGTTGTATTGATGTTCAATTTGATCCATCATGTCGATTGATGAAAGCAGCGATTGACTTCTAATCGAGACTCTTATACCTGTAATAATGCAAAGTGTACAAGTCAATCCTGGTTGCAATTCAATCAAATTGCACTTTTAACCCGTTATTAGCTATCTTTGATAGATATTCAGTTCTGCATAACTTGAAATTGCCATGTAATTGATGAATGGGAAGATATCATACATCAGTTCTAACACCTTACCCGTTATTCGCCATGTTGTATTGATGTTCAATTCGATCCATCATGTCGATAGATGAAAGCTGCGATTGACTTCTAATCTTGACTCTTATACGAGTAATATTGCAAAGTGTACAAGTCGATCCTTGTTGAAATTCAATGAAATTGTACTTTTAACCCGATAGTAGCCATCTTTGATGGATATTCAATTCTACATAACTTGAAATTGCCATAGGATCGATGAATGTGAAAATATCATACATCAGTTCCAATACCTTACCCGTTATTCGCCATGTTGTATTGATGTTCAATTCGATCGATCATGTCGATAGATAAAAGTAGCGATTGACTTCTAATCTTGACTTTTTATACGAGTAATATTGCAAAGTGTACAAGTCGATCCTTGTTGAAATTCAATCGAATTGCACTTTTAAACTTTTCTGTACTTCTGTCACTCACGCATTGATCAAGACTTAGTGTAATCATACTTTAGAAAGTTGTCATAAATGATCCCAGTTAGACAGCAGATGAAACGTGGCCTAAAACAGCATTCAACTTCTGAAGCTTACTTCTAATTGTAATCCAGTTTTGTAGAACAGTACTAACTAGTTATTATTTGAGTTAGTAATGCTATTTGTTTATTCCTAATGACAAGTTTTATCTTATAACCATTGATAATTAGTATATTAGCGAGAATTACCAAGAAAACAGCGACAACTACAATGGCGAGATACAACAACTAGAAGCTTTACGAAAGGTAACTGAAAATCTTTCGATATTATTATTTATGAATTTTATATTAATAGGGTGAGTAGCCTACTTTTTATACTGTATATAGACCACGCTGTTTAATTAATACAGTATTCATCGTTGCTGATCATTTCGGTTAGAATAACACATTCTAGTCTCCAATTATTATAATCGATCAATTGCTGTTAGAATAATGTGATCAATTATTTCCACCCTTTATTGCTGTAGTTAATCGATAATATTTTTACCATAATGTGCCGTTGTCGTTATTGAAAAAATCGAATCGCTTTACAATTGGGGGATTTCACCTCCACAATTTGTTATTGTGCGATAGAAACATAGAACTACTGTATAAACTTTTACGCTTCATGTCCTATAATTTTCATTAGTAATTTCCTGCGACTTGAGCAAATATTGATACTGTATGTCATTTAAGTAATACTCTTGATTGCTTATGCTGGGGCTAAAATGATAGTATTTTTCAACGTTGATTACTAGTAGTATCGTCGCTTGATTGAAGAGTTCAACAGTAACTTTCTAGAAATATTCGTACCATAGATTGAATGCTATCAGATGTCACTGAATCCCTGAATTCTAATATTTACTTTTCTATTCTGATCACTAGTCAATCTATTTATGAATTGGCACTATCTTATTACACTCGCGCTGATATAATTACACGAATCAAAAAGTCAATAAGCATGATAGTTATGAATATACGATAACAATATTAATAGTCTCTAGACAATCAATCCTGCTTAAACTGCTTTTTTACCTAAATTTGATACACATTTACGCAGCACCGAAAACTAACTGAAGAGAGCATCGCTGCTTTATAGTTTTTGTTTAAGAGCCACAACAGTTGTCAATAGAAAATACGGGTTGGCTATAGGTTATCAATGGTTACACTTGTAAAATTTAGACTTACCAACTTGGTTTAGGATAAAATGATATTTTTATCTTGGTTCAAAGAATGCTCTTTTGGATGTTTTTTTTTTACGTAATTTGCTGTCAAAACCAAATCTTCTAACTTTCGCACAACCTAGATCTAATAGATTCTCGTCATATCTTTCATATATTATCTCAGTAGCGCAGATGCAGCAAGATCTGCAGCATTCTTAATTTGTTAACGTAGCATGGAGAACAAATAATCGTACCTATAAGCTTGTACTGAAATTTGCTTTTTCGCTTCAGGCTTATCAGCAGTGTTTAATAGTAATTGCTTGACGTTCAAAAATCTTGCATTTCAGTCTATTATTATTCCACCATGCGGGGAAAATGGATGCCTACTCCTTGCGCGCTATTTTTGCCAATTAAATATGATGACAGCGCGATTCGCTATGCGATCTGGTGAACGAGCAGCTATACTGTATACATGGTATGACATACTTTACGTAATTTTATAACTGAAAATTTTATTATCTTCAAGGAGCTCTTATTTTATCAACTTTGATAGGACTGACATGTATAATGGAAAGGAGGTATGTCATGATGATATTAAATTCGAGCAAGCCTGCATATTGCACAATTTGGGAGCCTTACATGCCGAATTAGGTGCGAAAGATGAGAGAATGACTGACGAAGTAAGACATGCTATAATACCTATATGTAAAGTAGCCTAGGTATGAAAAGATTAATATAAGCTGATCTGCCATAAATTATGCACTGTAGGCATTGAAAACATCCTGTACTCATTTTCAAGATGCTGCTGGAATATTCACCTACTTAACTGTACATTTTAAATTAAACTTTCTTAATTAAATAAAATACTATTGCTAAGATACAAATAGCATTCTAGTCACATCAACTGTGTCAGTAATCGATCTTAAATATTTGTAGATTTTGTAGTTAAATAAATGCTAGTATATGTTGCAATACTGTAGAAACACGGATCGTTAATAACCACTAAGATCTTCTTAATCCTTTATAGGATCAAGTTGGGGGGGATTATACTCCCGATGTTAGCCATGCTATTATTTCCTTCTACATACAATTAATGCTGGTATGTATACCGATGATCGAAATCTCGCCTATCTATTATTATTTTTTACCTAACATTCTGTCGCGAAAATAGGGTCAAGCGCAAGAATGCATATTGGAAAAATCGATCAAAGACAACAGAAAGGGCTCCTTAATTGCTCGAATAGCAGCGCAAATTATTAGCTATCTGAGACTTGGCCAAAATATATTAGAAGCTGCTGTACAAATCATTAGTTCAAGAAGATGCAAAGTAAGAACGAAATTGTTTACTATAGGAAATGCAAGTAAATACTATATAGTTGTTAAAATAATCATTACTTTGTTCTTTTAGGTATGGTCAAAGTTTCTAACCTTTAAAATTGTATACTATGACGCAGTTGCGCATGTGAGTAATTCGTATAGTTAATTGTAATGTATTGGACCATTTAATTTGCTCAACCGAGTGCATTTATTAATTTCTTAACAATTACAATCTACTTAAACAGTTGTATATGGCAAACTCTTCCGATGAAAATTCGAGATTTGGAGATAAAGTAAGTATTTCTTTTTATCATTGTAAGTTAGGATGACTATGCGACTAAAATTTTATGGAACGTTGTATATAATCTATAGATTGACAATGACATATATATTGTTATATAATAAATACAGTTAGATAACGGCATCACTAAGCTCTCTCTACTTCGTTTATTTTCATTTTAAGGTTGGTTATTTAAAAGCTGCTTCTGCAAAACTAGAAGAATGTTCAAAACTTTTAAAGGTAGCGGTAATATTTTAAGACGAAATTACCTTCTAATTGAAAAATGTCATTAATAACAATTTCGTTTTATGAAAATTCACAGCAAGGAATTGATGCTAAATTCCAAGATGTCTATAATTACACCTACGACGTGATAAATTATCAGTAAGCTTGATACATCTGATGATAAATCAGCCTTTCTATAAGTCAATATTTTACCTATTATATGTATATTTTTATGCCGTTATTGGCCAATGCTAAACTTGTATATTCAAACAGGTTAAAAGCAGCGATCAAAGATAATGACTTTGTGTATCATGAATCTATACCTGCAATCGCTAATCTGCCAGTGATCGAAGGCATGAGATGATACTATGTTAAATCGATTAGTACTTGTGGAAAAGATTTAAATTACTTAATATCATAAATCGTCACTGACTGCCATGTTGATACATCTCTTTAGGACTTTCTCTCTCTAAACCTCGTGCCTTTTGCCCAACTGATAAAAATCTTTATGGCGATGACATCTTTGCAAAACTTGTTCCAATGCAGGCACATGAACAGTCATCAATGTATAGGTAAGCACAGCACCATGACATCGTTGTTAATACTCTTACTAGATTAAATTAATCTAGACTGTTTGTTTAATATTCTATGTACCATAGTGAAGAAAAGGCTCAACTCCTGCGATCAGTTACTAGTTCTATTCAGCAAAAAAATGAAGAGCTAAGGTATGGATCAATTTCTTCCTAATGATTATGATATTTTGGCATATGCAGCATAGTCAGACCTAAGACTTATATTTGATTATATTTGAAACAAATTTCTAAAATTACTTAAGCCAAGTGATATCGTCACTCCAATTACCAAACTTAAACCGAAGCGATATGCAAGTACAAATGGAATTGCCAAGTAAGGTTTTTATATACGTATCAAAAATAGATATATACCGAAAGCCATTACTAATTACTCTATCTGATTATACAAATGATGTGATGTAGGTGAAATTTCTGAAATTAATCAACAGTTAAATAGCAATCCTGATGTTCTAGAAAAATTGATTGAGTTAATCGAAGGTAATATTTTGTTCAAGGCCCTATAGATCGGTATGTAGGTGTCTTAATTTAGTCTGTTTATTTAATTTCAGAGTTAAAGCGTTTATACCAAGATATCGAAGATAAAATTAACGCTACTGACAAAAAATTGAATGAAGAAAACCAAGCTGCAGAGCGCTTTGAGGTATCTACGTAAAACTACGTACTATTTCCAGTTGCCTTCCCTGTCAAACTTTATCTAAGTTTCGAACTCGATTTGCGATATGCCATCTAATTCGGTGTTTTGTAGTCTAAATTTGGTATAGTACATGACGCAGCCGTATTTGAAGAATTGAAATCTAAATTCGAAAGAAGAAAAGAAGCAAACGACAAAGCGATGAAGTGCAATGATGAAGTTTTCAATGCATACGATAGTAATATTGAAAATCTAAAATTGCTAAATGGTTCGAAGGATGCTTTAATGGCTTCTCTACCAAAGTTAAACTTATTAGATATACCTATTGATGAAGCTGCTGAAACAAATCTTCGAAGAATTTTGGTAAAATGAATTCATTCAATAGTGTTAACTATATTATTTTCCTAGATTCATGCATGATTATTTATATCATAACGTGGCTTGCAGGCAAAAGTAGAAGAAATGAAAAAACAGAGAAGTAATCTAGAGGGAAATTTGAGAGAAGCCTTAAATGAGGATGATATTACATCCATGATTGTCACTCAAACCAATAAAGATAGTACTGATATCTTTCACGAGCAGATACAGAAACATGATAGTCTTGTTAACGTAATTCGCCAAAATTTGGCGGCTCAAGAAAGAATTATAATGTAAGGCGCTTGCATTGTGGCTGTTATATAGATATAACTCTGGGGTACTTCCTGATAGTCTGCTATAGTCCTTTCTCTCTTTTTCTGCTTTAACTAGGGTGTTAACTGATGCAAATGCCAAATATGGAGCTGCACGTGAACAAGCATGCAAAACTAGCGCAAAGTAAGAAACGAAATGCTAATCTTATTGAAGCTACAGGTCTATGACCGTTTGGTTAATGTTTTAAATTTGCTTCCATCATAGGCGAAATGCTTATATTAAATCCCTTATGCTATCTTACAACGTAATGAATGAATTAATTTCAAAAGCCGAGTAAGTATTTACGTATTGTTAGTATTCTACGTTCTAATAGATGCAGACTCTGACTTGGACGGTATTATTTCGCCTCTATTATTCTAGGCATGGAATTGAATTCTATAAGAAATTTGCAAATGATATCGAAAAATTCTCTCAGAAAATTGAACCAGTCATACAGCAAAGATTGAAAGAACGGGAGCAAAAAGCAAGGTAGAGCCTTAATGTAGCCAAATCATATTCGAATAAATAGCATCTCATCTACATATTGTATTCTTAGGGAAATTGTTGCAGAAAGAAGAGCGAAGAAAAATGCTGAATTAATGGCCAATAATACTGTACATTTTTTTCATTTTAAGATTTGATAAATAGTTTTATGCTCTTATCTCAGATACTGAAATAATTATATGTTTTTATTACAGCCAATAGCAAACACTCAGCGTTGGGGATTAATTGCAAATGGCCAAGTAACCCCTACTTCGCCAACAAATCAGCAAAACTTAAACAAAGGCATGAATTTTAATACCGCTAGTCCTACTGCATTACCTTTGCCGAATCGAGATGATAATCAATTTTTCCAAGGCCGTACGGATGCAGCTCCATCTTCACTTCAGCATCAACAATCGCTACCCTCCAGTACGTATTCCCAATCGACTATTCCAGTATCTCCACAATCTCCACATCCAACTCCCGCAAGTATCTCTCAACAACAACAGAAGCCGTTACCGATGCAACCACAATCGCCACAGCCGTTACTGTCGCAGCAGCGTAGTCCAGTTCCTTTATCTTCAGTAAACCAGATTTCTGCAGCAATGAATTCCCAAAGCAATGTATCAACTCCAGTCTCACTGCCATACCAAGCCAACATTCCATCGCATCCTCAAAATCAATTATCGGCTACCCGGCAAGTATCTAGTGGAAGTATGCTACCCCAAAATAACTATCAGTCTCAACAGTTGACGAGTGGTAATGCAACAATAGCATTCAATGATAACCTACAATATCAAAATTCTCAATCCGGTAGTAATACAGCACCTAATCCGCAACGTCAAATTTCTCAGTCAAATAGTACTGCAGTGCCTAATGCGATACAAAGACAAATATCAAATCCAAATTTAAACCAACCAAATTCACAACACGTGAGTTTTCAGCAGCCATCCTCGGGTAACGTTTTGGGTCCTCACACCAATGTACAACGCCAAGATATTCAATCAAATTTGCCTCAATCAACTACTGCCTTACAAAATCAATTTTCGAATCAAGGATTAGATCAGAAGTTTTCTGGCTACCCGACTTACCAGCCACAACTTCCGTCGTCTCAGTCAGCTCAGCAGCCGACACAGGTCTTATCAAGGCCCCAAAATCAACAAGCACATACTATTCAATCGCAAAGCAGTGCAGGACAAGCGGTGTCTCAACATCAGCATCCCGGCACTTTCTCTCAAGGAAATATCCCATCAAATAGCTCTTTCAACATAAGGCGAAATGAAGGGATAGTAAATCAGTCTTCTAAACCAGCTGGTGATAATACCGCTTGGATATGCAGTAATCAGCAGCAGCCTAGTCTACAACAGCAGAGCCAAAATCAAGGTCCGACTGGTTTTATGAGTGCTCAGCCACTACAGCAACAAATGGGGCCTCGACCTACTACGCAAACTTCGTACGTAACGGTAAATAATAATCCTTCTATGGTAAATAATCTTCCTTCACAATCGGCTAAATCAACTGCGCAGAGCACTGTCTATGTTCATTCTAATCCTGTAATGCAGCAAATGCTTAACACTCAGCAAGGTGGACAAAGCATGAATATGTATAATCAAACAAATTCGCAAGGTCAAAATATGTATGGCAACAGCCAAGTACAAGGTGGAATCAGTACTGCCAAGCAGCAACAACAACAGCAGTTTACTCCACTGCAGCAAGTCAATCAACAGGGACCAGTTAGGCCATACAATGCAAACATGTCGCAGGCAAATTCTAGGCAACTTCATGAGGTAACCGAAAAATAAATTTGTTAGCAAATATGTATACAATTTATGAAATAATTCAAACGAATCTGTTTTACAGCAGGGACAATACAATGGAGCACCCCCAGCACAACAACAAAAGCCTCAAATTCTTCAACCGGTGCAGAATCAGCAATTTCCACCACGGTTATATCAGGCGAAAAACAATAATCAGCCCGTTGATTTACTTACCTCAAGCGTAGATCAATTTAATTTGCAAGGAACATCCGGGAGCACTATTTTATCGCCTGTGATAGCGGGTAGTAAACCAGCTGCTCCAACTCAGCAGAAGCCACTTCTTCAAAGTTTCTCCAGAGAGTACATAGATAAATTACGCTCTGATACAATGCAGTTTGGTCAAAACATGCAGTCTTTATGCTACAGTGCCCAACAGAACTGTGACGGTTTCACTACTGAGTTTCAGGTTTTAGATTTGCGTTTTGAATAAAAATAAAATTATATTCTTGTAGTTTTCATTTCATGGCTGACTTACGATGAATATTTCTTACATACAGGCTCTAGAAGAGAGCCGTGTTACGGACTCTCGCAAATACCCTTGTAACGTAGCTCACCGGCATCCAATTGGCAATCGCGATGAAACTATTCTACCTTGTAAGAAGAATATTAAACATTGTCTGAAGCTACGATACTAATTTGATAACTAAAACGCAATTATGCTTATTATTGACGTTAGATGATTATTCCCGAGTAATATTGAGCCCGCAATATGAAGGCGATGAAGGATATATAAACTCGAGCTTGATTGATGATTTAACTACGTTATCATCACGATATATTGCTACACAACCTCCCTTGCCGTCATCCTTTACTGATTTCTGGCGTATGATTTGGGAAACAAATGCATTATTTATTGCTATGTTAGTAGCTGAAATTGAAAACTGCAAGGTAGAGTTCTACAAAAAATGACACCTTCAGTTACCTTCTATACTGTATTAATATGTGCGTTTAATCACTTACGCTAGCGTGTGTGCGATCGCTATTGGCCGGAAAATGTAGGATCATCAGTTACCTACGGTGCTATTGTTGTAACTTTAGCAAGCCAAGAAGCTCAACCTTATGGATTCAAGAGGATAATAACCATTAAAAAGGTTCTTATAATTTTGAAGTAGAGCAAGATACTATACCATAATATTTTATTTAATTAGCTGATTGTTAAAATAACCTACACTTATTGCTTTACTACTAGAATACCGAAAGTAGGTCAATAACTCAGTTACAACTGATTACGTGGCCTCAGCCGTTGTAAGTAAAATACAAAATACGCTATTTCATGGAGTTTAATAAAAGCTTATTCACTTCTTATATTTATTCTATTGTAGCAATCAAACATCGTACAAGCCACTCATGGCCTATTTAGAAGACGTCACATCTCACCTACAAAAGATCGACCCTGGATCGCAAGCGCCTGTTGTGGTGCATTGCAGGTAAGAGCGGCATATACAGCTTCTTCTCATAATAATAGATTAGTCGAAGATTAATTTTGTGTCCTCTTACAGTGATGGAGTTGGAAGAACAGGAGCATTCTGTATCCTTTACACTGCTATCAAAGAAATGGCAGGCGGACATGGATTAAGTATGCGATGTGTTATTGCTAATGTAGCATTTTTAGTATCTGAATCTAGGTTTTAATGACCTATTAAATTATTGCTGCATAGTAAATATTTCAAAGCTGATTCAATCCCTTCGCCAACGTCGAAATTACATGGTTCGAACTAAGGTATATGATCAGAGTATGTTGATGTCAACGTGTTACATGTGTTATTATCTCGCCTAGAAAAAAGAACGAATTAAAGATGTCCATTTGTAGTTTGTTGTAATCAACCAAATTATATACTTTATTACTAGGATCAATACATCATGTGCTATGAAGCAGTATTTGCCTATGCCAGTAAATTTGTACAGGAAGGTAGGTATCTATCCAACGTTTTGAAGTATTCACTCGTAATATACTAATCTATATTGATGATGAAAATGTGTGGTATATGTTTTATATGAAACTAGAAACCCTTTAATGAAATGATACTGTTCTTACTTTCAGCTCAATCTTCGCCAAGTGATTCGTCTGCAAGAAACATGACTGGACAAACTTCACAACAGTACGGTAATTTTCCTGTGCAACAGCAAGGCAACATCTACGCGAACACTCCTGGACAGTTGAATGCACAGCAAAATCTAAGTTGGCGTTAATATGATAACTCTCATGCATTACCTGTATGGATTTATTGTATGTATCTTGGACTATATCGCTGAAAAGATTTACTGAATCTATTTTTAGTTCTAAAGAAACAGTTATTGTAGTATATACTTGCTAAGAATATAATATAATGTATTAAATTATGGGCAATCTAAAAGAGAATACAAATTTTTCAATTACTATTAAAAATGATATGGCAATTAACGTAATAGAAATTATAACAATCATGCTAAATAATCTCCTATTTTGTAGTCGTAACACAGTTGTGTATGACCATATTGTAATATTATCGGTTAAGACGATATTTTAGTGATTTAGATGAAACTGTTTGATTTAGTTATAAGTAGAACACGCGATACAGTATAAAATTATTACGATATAGCCAATAGAATTGTAAGGCAATTCTATCGAATTCATAAAGATAACTATAATGATAGTAAATGATGACTTGGGTACAGTTAACAGAAAAATTGTAATCCATGCTGTAAGTACTGCAAAGCATAAATGCTTCTAAATTAATCTTCCCATTAAATGTTAAAAAGTTTAAATTTGTGACAATGTGTAAAATAGCGTACCGAGATATTAATAACTATGGTATCAATTTTTATTTCATGAAATCTAACTGTAATACTAGTATGATGTAAATTTAGCATATAGAAGACGCTATTCTAGTGCTGTCATAGTATTGGTATTGTTAGCATTAATATGTATGATTAAATTTCATTGTTAATGATAAACATTTATTCGTAACAATTTGTCGTTAAATTTTTTATTTTAAAATTTATCTCATCGACGTACGCGCATTTAGGCATGTAATAATTAATCGACTGATGGTAGCTGTTATAAAATTACACGTGTTACAAGTTTAATCTGATTTGCACATCAATGCGTGGGGACTGGAACTTCACAATAAATCAAATTCTTATGCTATGTGTCAAATATGCTTAGGGAAAATATGTCGATTTATCGTGGAACAAAAATCAAGATACAATCCTACTGACCATCACAGATTCGCCTATAAAGCTGTATTTATCTGTGCAAATTACCATAGAACGTCTTTAAACAGTCATTTAATTCTAAGTCACATTCAAGTCCTACATAATTGCTGGAAAATCTATTGAAGCTGATTCTGAAATGCGGTTTAGTACGTCATCAATTTATTATTTTTTTAAAATATCTTTTCGAACTGTACACAACCTTGTAGCTTCCCATAAATCTAGTCATTGGTTAAGTTAAAGTAATTTGTCTTAAAATGATTTTAAGAGAATGATTAATACCTAGTCAGTCTTCAATTTTGAATTTTTGAATTACTTAAAACATTGCAGTCCATGATATCTTACAGTTTCATATTAATCCAGCTGCTTGCTTAATTAAGTAATCCATAATGAGCCGATTCTGAACTCCCGTCTATTATCTTATCAATTTATTCATTTTTAATATCTGTAACTGCCAAAACATTGCGATTTTGCGCTAATCTAGCTGCTTGCTATATTGAAATATTCCATGTTAAACTGGTTTTAAATTGCTATTCAGTTTACTGCTGAGTGTATTAATCATATTTTTAAATAATTTTTAAACTATACGTAACATTACTGAACGACCATATACTGTATAGTAAAAGCAAATCCTGATGGTCACCATTTGATTTTGGATGGTATTGCCTCATTCCATTTAGAAGTCAAATTATCAGGCTCACTTCTGAAACCGATAAGTTACTTTCAATAAAAAATTTAACTTATATGAAATCATCGTAAATTACCTCACTACTTTTACTCCTCCTGACTGATGATAGTTTATACTGCTATAAGGAATACCTACGCTATGATATACTGTATGTTAAAGTATTCGTATACTGTTCCATACTGTATTTAATTATGTATGAACTAGCAGCTCACATTTAATCGCCAATATCAAAAGTTTACCATATATATAAAACGACAAATGATATTCCAAGCGTAGAATTGAGTAAATTATAATTATAATATCCTTGCACAGGCTAGAAATTAAATGTTTTCATCATTTCATTCAATTTTTGTGTTTTACCTAAATGGTTCTAAAGAATTTTTTCCTTATTTCAATCATTTAAGAATCGGAAATTATCGGAAATTTGGTCAATGCCGAATTTTTAATCATTGCTTCCATCATTTAATCTGAGTAAAATATAGATTTTATTAGATACAGGAAATGTTGGCCCACACGAATAATTGTATATCTATTACTTCCGATTTAGCTGCCACTGTACTCAGTCTGCTAAATGAATGATTCCAGCAAATCAAGCGCCCGGTTTATTCGCCTATAATGTTACAAAGAATCTGTATTGAATATTTTAAGAATTTATCCTAAAAAAATACGCAGTGTAATCTTTTAGAAACTGTCCCTGTTTCCATTTCTCTGACTAAGCAACCTGCATAGGGAATATCACATCTCATGATCAGAGTATCTGATTCTTATGCTATAAAATGAACGATGAAAGGAAAATTTTTCGACTCGCTTGTGCGTATATTTATTATTTAAAAATTAAATATGCAGTCACACTTTATTTCGCCTTTTACTCAGCTCTTCTCAGTTCTTACCAGTACCGTTAAGCAATGCAAATACTGCAATATGCACATATGCTTTTTTTCAGACACTATCCTATATTGTGGTAAATATCAGCTTGCGAAATAGATATTGCTGAAGTAACGCATACAAAAGCCGTTTATTAGCTAAGCTGTATCATATATTTATGTGGTCATTTAAACCGCCATATTTTTAAGCAGTTAAGATTAAATTTAAAAACATTGAATTCAATTGCAGTCTGGCTATTAATTCTCCATTATATTACATAAAATGAATTTATTCTTATTTGTAGGTGTGCCTTATCCGGTTGATCTTCATATATTTTGGAATATTGCAATCTGCCGTCAACTGTTAATGATATTACTCCGCTTGACTAAGCAAAAGGTAAGTTATTAAGAATAACATCAATATAATGAATCCAATGATGAATTGTCGATACCAGTAAAGCTTACAAATATCTTATTGTCAGCGTTATCATTTAAATTAGCCTTTATGTTTCAACTTTAAAAATTTAATGGCATGCAGTTTATCAGAGACCTTGGGAGTCAGCTAATGCCTGATGTTTTCTACTGTTATAACTGAAGAATTTCCCTAAAATAGATTAGTTATACTAAGCGACAATAAACTTATTCTGATTTAATTCAACAATTTCACCGGGCTTAGATAATATTATTTCAGTTATGATGAAATTATAGTTTTAAGCTTGATAATGAGATTACTATAAATTATTTGTAAGTTGAGAGAGCTTTCAATTACTACATACAAATTACCATGATAGTAATAGTCTACCATGTTCATTTTTACTTGGCAGTTATCCCTTCAATCGATAAAAGTTTTACATTTTCTGCTGTATCATTCCTAACATTACATAAAAGTCATATGTTATGTAGATCACTTGATAAAATATGAAATAATAAGTGCAGAACTTGATCAATTAAGTCTAAAAGTCACCACAATTACCTCCTTAATAGTGTGGATATAGATCTTAAATTAATTAAAGTAAAATTTTGCAAAACCAAAATAGTATTTTACGCCAAGGGTAGTAAGAGACTGCTTAACTAAGCATCAACAAGCCCTAGCAATGCATGATCTACTGCATTTTCTCCGTCAAATTTAACAGTTACTTATTATAATATCATCATGAGATAGACCTACATTTAGCGAATAGAGTATTTAATTCTTGTTGTGGGATAAATTATAATTAAACCTATAATTAAGCAGCGAATATAAGCTAAACAAGTTAGCATTATCGCTAAATCAACAGACTTATTTCATGAAATTTTCTTTATTGAAAACGTTTATTAATATTCTAGACAAGAAGAAATTATTGTTCACTTTCAGACCTTGATCACTATAAATTAATAAAAATACGGTAGCAAAGTCTTGCATTTCGTCTATGATGTAATTTTGTAAAAAGAGATAAGAATAAAATAAAATTCACTCGGGTTCAAATTAAAGATCATTTAGCATCGGAAGTATCTTTAACAGCTTATTTTCAAGATGTAAGTTCTTCTATTAAATCTTATAGAAGAAATTAATCCGAAATATGATCTAATTAAAGTCGCCGCTACAAGTAAGTTTAACAGAAAGAATACATTTAAGATCGTTTTGATGATTATCCGCCTTAATACTTGCATTTGGGAACTAAAAGCATATGAAATGTATAAAACTAAATAATACTAATATTCAAAATTGATTGAATAATTTTGCGTTAGTCTGAAACGGATCTTAATGAGCAAAAAGTGATATATAATAAATTGATGAACATAATGAAGCAAAATTTTTAGTTACGACAATCAGCGACTGCTTTAATGAATATAAAAAATTAATATGAGATTTAGACAGTAGTAAATAATTGAAATTGGTATTATTTAAGTAACAGGAGACTCGCTAAGTAGGTTACCCTTCGAATAAATGCTTAAATGAATCCTGATGACACATCGGATCAACATCAGTGAGGCAGGACTAGAAAGATAATAAATCGAAATGTTTATATTTTGGAGGACATCTATTAGCAAAATTAGAACAATCTGCAAGCAGTAGTATCCCAATTACACTAAACTGTGAAGTTTTTTAGCTGTTTATATAAATTACCTTTAAAATAGTTGCTTACGTGAATCTTGATGACTCATCAAATCTGCATTGATGGGCAGGACTAGAAAAACTATAAATCTAAACGTTTAAATTTGGGGGCACCTACCAGCCCAATTAGAATAATCTTGCAACCAGTTTTATCCATATTAGCGCAATCTATCAAATTTTATAGCATAATATATAGATTTTCTTCTAAATAATTACTCAAATAAACCATGTTGATGGAATCAATACTCGTGAGATAACATTCGCATAATATGAAAATTAGTACTATTCAGGTTTACATATCAGCTATCGCCATCAGTCAAATTTAATCAGTCTAAAATTTGTACGATGTTCATGAAATAATAAGTTAAATAATATCAACATGGTAATTTTAGATCGTTTTATTAATATTATTGGTAAACATTAATACCAATAATTTCCTTCTTAACGTTATTTTATGTAAAATCATTTGATAAATGGACGAAATATACGGTAGGTTATTCCAGATCACCTTCCGTTATAAAGTAAAGATAAAGGATTTTGTTAATCTAAGCCGTTAATTATCCTCATTCGACCTATCTAATTATCATCCGGATCTAATTCTTTTTTAACTTGAAGGAAAATTAGAGATACTGCCATTATTTTGCCAATTAAATCTGTAAATTTCCATACCGGAACTGATTAATAAGTATTAATGATGAAAGGTAAGGATGATCGATAGCACGAATAAAATATTAATGTAGAGCACAACAGGTTTGACAATCGTTCAATCTTAAAATGATATGCCAGCAAAGTTATCAATAATATATAACCATATATATATATTATTCTATCTTAGCTTCATAAATCAAATGAGCCTTCATGATAGACTGAAAGCTGGTTTAAAATATTTATATAAATTTCATTATAGGCTCAATGGCATTAGATTCATACCGTTAAAGAATAAGCCAGTATATCTTTAAATCATTCAAGAAAAAGGATTTAAACAGCTCACAATTAGCTATAAAGTAATCAAGTTCATATTTCAGTTTCCTTGATTGTAGATAGCAAGGTATTGGAGTAAAATTAATGGATCTAAATAGCATTTTATAATGCGATCAATTTATCATTGCGATTTTATCTTGACATAAAATTATAATTGATAATCAGAGCAGTTTGGCTATTGACCGATCTTAACAACATTGTTACTATTGCTACTTTTCAACTCTAATCAAAATTACTCTTCTGAAGAGATCGATTACATTATTTATTATTGCTATTTGGTCTAAATATCAAAATACAGTATGATCAAAGCTGGCTAGCAATTGTCAAGGTCTTAAAACCATCCTATCTTACGTCATCTCATACACAAATTAACTTATCCTATTACGATGGTAGATTCTACATAAGCTACGTTCCTGATTTAGATGACCTTAGTAGATTAATAATCAAGCCTTTTTAAATTGCAGTACCATAATATTATGAACAAGGCTTCTAATTTTTAACTAGATCGTTTATTCACCAATTCGATAAATCTATTTATAGATTATTTTATTTTAAGGGCTTACAGACTGAAAATAAGGCAGTTAATTACAGGTCAAAGCGATTGAACAATTAAAGTATTCGAAAAGAAGTTGTTACGCCTAATATTAATATTCATGAAAATGCTGTAGCTACTTACGTTTTCAATTTCAGATTTGCATCATTTAATTTTAAATTAGCTTCAATTAGATGGCTTTTAAAAGTAAATCGAATTGATTGATTAGTTCATTCATTAATTGGTTAATCGATAAATTGCAGCTCGCAATATCGTCTAAGGCGTACGTAATAAAATTTCTCCCTTACTATTAACTCGAGAGACGATGATACATTAAAAAAGCTACAAAAAGCCACTTATCGAAGAAATAAGCAGATTTATCTGTAAATGAAAACAATAATTAGCCCAAAAAGAGATAAAAATTTCTTAAGATATTTCTATCTTGGATTCTAATTGCGACAGTATCATACGGTATTGAGTTAGTTTGGCACTATTAAGCAAGATATTCGTTAGTATAACCGATCAACGTAAGTACGAATGTAACAGAAATAGAAACAAAAATGGATAAATTATTTTCTTATCTCCCTGTTTCTTGGTACAATATCGAAAAATTAACTTATATCTAATTTATGACAATACATAGAAAAAGAGAGGAAAGAGACGAGAAAATTGATCCTCTGAATAGAATTGTGTTTTCTAAAGTCAACTATCGTCAATTTAGCAGTCTCAAATCAGTCCGTAGTTAAAATTTAGCAATATTATCGTAAAAGCAATATGCACAAACACGTATGCATCGAAAAGAAAGGGAGATTATCGAATTAATAAAAAATTGTGGATCTTGATCTATACAATTCATGATAACAGACTGCAAAATCGAACTTCTATGCATAGGAACCAAAAAAACTAGATATTTATGTTATCGGATCGCTAGACAGTAATTAATTATAGATCATACAATTTTTCTCTATTATCAACTAGAATAATCTTGACATCACATAAATTAGATATTATGTGTAATTATAAGTAGACGAAATATCTTTAAGTTGACTGCGTATGAAAGAGCTGTTCTAAGTTATGACTTATAGCAGTATTAGCAAGACAAATTACAGCAAAAACTTTGATCAATCAAACTGGTATTAAATTGCACCCTGACTTATACTAAATACTTATGAATTTCATATTCTGATTGAACTTCGATTATAATTTAGATGTATGAGATAATATTTTCACATGCTTTCTACATTTTAATTATAATTTCGTTTTATGAGACAATATTCTCTTTCTTTACTTAAAGTAATTGTTGTAATAGCACGTATATCTGGATAAAATTGTCAACATCGATCGAGGCCTTAGGCTCATGACAGATCTTAATGTAATCCACCGATTACATCTCCAGAAGTTTAGGCCAATATCAGATTGGAATAGCATTTTAAGCTATTTCTAACAGATTTATTCATTATTTACACTTATATTGTGATATCTATGGTAACAAATTGTAGCTTACTCACATAGTTTGATCTATTACACAATCAAAATATAAAATACCTGCAGGAATAATCTTCAATACTCAAATGCTATTTTATCTATTCTAAACTAATTCGATTTTCCGAATAATTCATTGAGTAGAACCAGAGTACTTAGACAAGTACCAATGAATCTATTTTAAGCAAAAATATACTTCTCTACTTAATAACTTATAGCTGCTCACTAACACTAAATTTTATTATAATATTCATTTTTTCACTTATTGCCACTTCATTTATTTCTGCTACAGAAATAAACATGTTTATTCATTTACCAAGATCCTAAAGAAATAATCACCGATGCCACGACGTTTGCATAGTAATATTTTAAATAAATAACGATCGCAGATGCGATTAATAAAGCAATCCTTGATCGAAGTTATTGGAAATGTGATTTATTACTAGGAGTAGATTAACTGTGAGCTACTGCCTGAATCCTTTATTAGTAGCTAAGTAACAATGTTATCTGGTAAATTATTAATGAATGGCCTACTGTCCGGAATAACAACTATTTTAAATCTAGATAATCAGCGATTTTAACTACTGAAGCGAGATAACTAACTTTTAGTTTAAAATTCTTATACATCTTAGCTCACACTCCAACACCTAAACAGATTTTAAATTTTACTCACATGAAGTTAATTACTTTATATATGAGATTTTACAAAATCAGAATAAGTATTAATATACTTGCAATCTTTTTATATTTGGCATTAATTGTTCAAGATAATGCATAATGATATATAATAAGTCGCATGAATCTGTTGCAATTCCTTACCATCAAAGCCTAAGCGGTATAGCACACAAGCGAGGCTTTGTTTACTATTCATTCGATTAAAATTGTATACCTAATATTCTTTGTAGGGACAACACGATATGAAGAGATTTCTATTCTATTTATTTGCTATATTGGATTCCTTTTACGATATTCGTCAGATGAATATCACACCTATGATGTCGTCAAGAAATATTTACGATTAGCTTAGCATAGCAATTAAATCGCCACAAAGCTTAAAGGTCAGACTCTACTTATTCTTACACGCTAAATGAAAGACCAGGAGGATTTTTTTATTTAAATTTTCATTTTTGCATCCGCTTGACAACCCCAATGCAATATTGACTGAGCTACAATTAATCCATCCAGATTCTAATTTATAATTAAAGCAGAATCCATCTGAGGACGCAAGCAAGCCGTCATGATCAGACTATTGAAGAAATCATAACGATAATAAGCTAATAATATGCATTAGATAAAGAATAGTCATTCAAATCATACAGAAACACAGGAAGAAATCAAAATAGGCTACTGCCAATTATCTGCACCTTAATTACAGCTTCCAAAGTTATATAATATGTAGCAATGAACTTAAAATGCGAAAAAAGAAGGTAAAACATTTTGCCAGCATAGGAAGACCAACTTTGTCATTAATTCTGAGAAATTGATCAAGATAATTTTTCATCAAATTGAATCTTAAAATGAATTATTAAGATATCAAGAATACAAATCATTGCTGACAGATCGGAATAACAATTAAATGTCAATATTATGAATTATTGATGATAATGAAGAAATAGCGTAAAGTAAACTTCCGTACATCAATGCCCTTAGAGGCGATAATAAATTACGCTGATTTTCATCTACCACTATAAATACAGGATCTAACCACTGTCATTTTCATAAACATCCTCTGCGTTGTTCCACAACGACCGGGTGATTGGTCATCATAGCAAGCACTCAGCGAGAAAATAACGGATAACATGAATCTTGGATACTTTCTACTCTTAGTAGCCTTAGCCACTGCTTCCCAAAGGTAAAGTCTACTATACAGTATCAAATTGTCTACTTAGAAAGATCGATCTGGTTATATTAGTATGATTGTTCTTATTTGTTGTAGCCAGGTTAATAGCCCCATTTTAGAAGCGTCTTTAGTCTAATCACTTAATACATGTAGCTGTGGTTAACACCAAAGCAAAATTGTGGTCTAGTTTATTTTAAAATTGCACCTTAATATTATAACGAAAGCAGAAATTAGTAGGAAAATAACAGCAAATAAAAAGAACTCGAATCTGGATGAAAGTTTGATTAGAAATTATCACGATGATAACAACTAGCGATAGCATTTAAGATGCTATCCTATTTTTATACCTTCTTAACTAACCAATTTTTACACAAAAGGTAATTTTAAAGTTAACACAGTTCCAAATAACAGTAACTTTTATTGAAAGATGACTATATTATGGCTAAAAGATAATTTTGTTGGTAAAAGCAGACAATAAAACAGAAATGAGGTAGTCTTCAAAATGAAATCAAAGCAGCGTATAATTGGCCTCTCGATTATATAATAATCATCTAATTTATATTTAGCTACTGTCAAGGATAGCATACAGAATTATCCTATTTTTTATTAGGCCAGTGAATAAATCGAATATAAATAGCTTTATTGATAGCTAAAAAGGTAGAAGTTATAGCTAGGTATTGATATGGATAGCATACGGAACTACCATTTTTTTATTTGCCCACTAAATATAGTAGAAGTTGTAATTGGATATTTCATACCAGATAAGGAAATGATAGTAAAATGCATCCAATTAATATCATTTAATGTCTAAAAAGCCAGATTATATCAAGTCTGATTAGATAGGTATCGTACTTGATCAAAGCCAACTTGAGTCTGAAGGCAATAAATAAGATTTTAAATCACTACTAGATAACTTTTTTGCAAATGACAATCATGTCAAACTGGACTAATATAGACCAGTAAATTTTTTTTAATTGAGATCATTTGTGATTAAAACCAATTCTTATGAGTAATTAATGATAATAAATATCACATTCTAATTGTGAACTAATTGATCTTATGTAATGATCAAAAGCTCAAAGTAATAACTCCGACCAGAGAAGAGAAATCGAAAGATAAATGTTTTATCTATCGATCGCAATTAAAACTTTTAATGCAAATTATTTTGTGCAAATTAGACATAGTCGAAAAGTTTACTTAATTTATTAGTTCAGAGATTTTTACTATCCTTAGCTTGAATCAGTGCTATTGATTTGGATTTATTACATCGCATCAAGGTATTTCTAGACATCATCGAATTACCAGTACATTATTTTAAATTGAAATTACATCGAGCATAAGTTATAACAATAAAATTTTCTGTAATGAAAGGTTTTAACCCTGTCATCTAGAATTCCTTTAATTTCTTTAATGAATGGTTTTAACCCCTATCATCCACAGTTGCTTTATTAAGCATAAACGATTATTCTCTACTACATAGTGATTACTACATATCGATATTACATTTTCAAAACACAATAATACTATAATTAGCTGAAATCACAACACCTTTATAAATCATGGAAACAAATTAACATTATTTATTCATAACATAATATTTCCATATATTGTCGATTCATATTAATCTATTAAGATTATTTTTAACTTACTCCATCATTTACCGCGATGCGAGAATAATTATAACTAAATTTAGATTATGCATAGAATGTTATGATTGTCTATACCGTTATCTTCATTTTTCCCTAATGTGCATAAACAACATTTGGAAACAGCAGTCATTGCATTTATGATTTCAATAATTCATAATTATTATTGTATAACGCGTTCAAAAAACAATTTGGAACAACAGTTATCATCCAATTACTTTAAATGATACAAGATCATTATTCATAATTTATTTCAAACAATACTTCGAAATAATAACTATCATCAATTTGTAGTAAATGATACATAAGTATTATTCTAGAACACATTAAATTGTAATGAATCAAATCAAGATCAGTCGTCAAGTACGTGGAATGAACTCTAAAACTACTACTAAAGCCAACTGTAGAAAGTGGTTAAAATTATTAAAGCATAGCTTAAATCCGTGTATTATTGTTCACTTAATTGCTGCAGCGTCATGATACAGCTGAAATTTTAAAACCGCTAATTAAGGACGTATCAGCAAAATAAAATGGAAAACACGATAATTTGAAAAGTAATATGGATTGCGGATAATAACCAGTTCAATTGGCCAATTAATTTACCTGTCATGGAAGAAAAATAGTGATCCTACGAGTATATTATCATAAGAGTGAAATCACAGTAAATATTTTCAAATAACTTGTTACATTGGCCCAATTAATTTACACATCATAGAAGAAAATTCTGGATTTATTCAGTAATAATAGCTAAAACGCCACTTATACTTGCAAATAACTAGTTACATCGGCCAAATAATTTCTGCTTTCCGGAATAAGTAATTACCACCGTTCAAAATAACAGCAATACTGTAGAATTTATCTATTTGATTACTAATGCTCCACATTAGCAATAAATAATGATATTGAATGTTAATTACTAACGATCTTTTTGTGAATACTGTATATTTGTAAAATTGGTGACTGTTATCAGATTTGTTAGGCTTTTATAAGCGACTGTTTTCTCAACTTCATCATAAAATAGCCTATTTTAATAATTCAATGGTGACGCAAAGAATAATTTTTCATTTATAGTTTATCAATTAAAATTGGTCTATTACAAATAGAAGACAAAGTTATTATTTATAGATGATGGAAATGTTAAATAATAGCATCTATTTATTCATTGTCTTAACAGTAGTGGTTCCGTCAATGTCAATGTCTGCTCTTATACTGCCAAGTAAGTTTTCAACTGAAGCTATCAACCATTTTGATGTTAGCTTTAATGTTCTTCTTGATTTTCTTCGTATAAAAGTTAATAATTATAATTTTACTGTTATTAATCTTAGTATTATTAAAATTTGAAAACAATTTAATGGATAATTCTAATTATAACTAGCATATGCGGATATTATACCGCGCTGGTATCGATTATTATCGATCGTAATTAGTTTACAACATGCATTAATACCGGTAAATGCCATAAAATTCACTAAATATGTGCATACATTACCTAAAATTTAACGTATTACACTATCCATGTAAATAATTCCATTGTATGCTGGCTAAACTAAATTTATTAGCATGGGCGTCAAACTGGTAAACCACCATTCCAAATTATTTACTTTTATCTGTATAGAAAAGGGGCTAAAATTGTCGCAAGAGTTGATTGCACAGTGGTATAGTACTAATGATATTGTAAAATATCTTGTTCTAGTATTTAATCAATCATGATTAAAATACATTCTATTGGCAGGTTAATCAGTAAATTGGATCGCAGATTTTGCAAAGTTAGATGTATCTAGTTTTAATGGCAGTAGTAAACTGGACAGCTTCCGGTATAATTAAGATTAGACATCGATAAGCGGTAGCAATGAATGCGGTAATAACTGTGGTAGTATTGATCATTAGTGAAACAAAAGTGATCATTTACTGAAATGTGCTCAAGCAGTAAGTTCAGTTTTAGGTAGATAACCACTACAATAATTACAGTTTAGACTAAGAAGAAATAAATATTACAGCGTTACAGTGTGAGTAACATGCTAATTATAATATTACACTTAGCAAAAGTCAAATCGTATGTTGTAATAGGATCCTGTGAAAAATTGGCCAACTTATTCTTACCTTTATCATGACACAGATATGATTTAGTATTGAATACCTTCGATAATATCTCAGAGTTTAAACTTCCATTCTATAGTACATATAGGCTGAGCTCAATCCTAATATCGAGATTTATTTAAGCTTACAGTTTGCCAAGTATTTATAATTACTTTTAGTGGAGTGGGAAATAATACGCGAAATTCGTGATATTGATTGGCATTGAATTAATAATAGAAAGTAATATAAATGTCATACTTTGAAAATTTATTTTAGGCGAGCTTACCATAGCATCAGCGACCGATTCTTTGATGAGGAAGACTATATTGCTAGGGCTACAAAATTTCGATGCTGCGATGGCTGGACAAGGGCCGGCGGTAATCGAGAAGGAAATGCACCTTGCTTTATTCGTAAGTGCAATAGTATGCGGTGCTCACACTTTGTACAATAATCCGGAAGAAAATAGATGACTAAACTCTGCAGTGAATTTCAGTCTCAATAGTGCAAAATTTTTGTACTTCTAAAATTCAATTACCAATCAAAAGCGTAGCCTTAAAATAGACAATCTTGTGCAGCGTTAAATTTCTGTATCGTATTGATTGCGATCTCCTTTTTCCTGTAAGCTATGGTATTTAAGATAAAATAGATGATTTATGTGTAATTTCGTCTAATTAAGCGTAACTGTAATATAATCTACCTCAACTTTTAACACTCATGATTCAATCCTTTCCACCATTTTTGTTTGCGTAGGACTATTTCTAGTCTCAGTTTTGCGATCAAAAATCTCAATAGCTTGAAATTTACTTGCTTAATGATTCTAAAATAATGTGCTCAATTCATTAGTCATTTATTGATTCATTTATTCTATAATTAGCAACTTGCAAGGTACCCTGTGGCAATAAGGAATCTTGTTATAAGCCAGATAAGTGCTTATGCGTCTTGGGCTATAGAGGATGTCAATCAACAACTTATAATGCGACGAATGGAAAAAAAAGTAACTTGCACTCTTAATTCATATTCCATCTCTACTATTTTCTAGTATGATGCTTCCATAATTCATCTTATCTAAATTTAGACTACGTTAGGTACAAAAGTCAGTAATTGTTAATTTAAGTATTGCGGCGATATCAGTCATATTTCATTTACTATAACGAACGGATATAGATGCAGAGATCATGATTTTTAGATCAGATAGAGAGTATCATAATTCAAGACGGATTGCATCAACTTTTCATTCTGCAAAATTTTCCTTGAATTTATTGAAACTTTAGGATCGCCTTTTGATCAATTCACACGTTGGGCAGCGGATATCGACGTTGGAAGTGAAGAAAATTTTGACAATAATTTATTCGATCGCGATGCTGAACAACATAGCAAAAGATCGACTAGCCAAACCTGTCCAGTAGCATTGCCGCAAAATGCTAGCCCCAACTGTACCATCCAGCGCCAAACAGAATTAGCTACTAATCGTGTTATTTATAAAATCCGTACTACGCCTAATTTTAATGACTCTGGTCGTGATTTAGATGTATTACTTACTCCATTATGGGACATCGATCCACCAACGGCTTTTGGTGTTGGAGCCAGTGACCCCTTTGAAGCACCTTGGTTAAATCAATACTTTTTTATATTGGGAACCAACGGACAATTAGTCCAGACTTACTTAAGTCTAGGAAATAATTCTGTCCGGGAATTTTCTAGTATTTCAGATTGGCGAGAATTATTTTTCTTCTTCTATATGTTTCATGTGGTAAGTGTATAGAAGTAATCTCTAATATCAGTATTAAAATGGGGAACCTTTACGACATTCTCACTTGATAATAGACAATGATTGTAATGTTTTCTATCGATTGAGAATCAATTCTTGTAATGCTTTTCTCACATACGTAGGACCAAGGAAATGTCCCAACTAATATCAATGATTTAATTATTGATATGTGGCAAGATGATCGTGTATTTGCAGAGCAGCAAATTGCCGGATTAAATCCATTCCCCGTGAAGCGCGTTATCGGCAAGCGTAAGTATCATGCTTTCTTGATCTTCTTTAGGTGACTGTATAGATTCGGTATACTGCCTGATATATAACCAAAAACATTCTTTACATTAACCAAAGTATTGGTAGTTAGTAGAATTTTCATTTAAAGTATAGTTTGGGCCTTACTACAATAATATTAGCCTTTCAATTATTTTCAGTTAGCCTTGAGCACGATCAATTTTAAAGCAATGTCTGTTCTTCTTTAGCTTGTCCACGAGGATGGACGTTAATTGGAGAGAATTGCTATAGAATGTTCCGTGGATACCCTTACAGCAATTTTAATGCTGCAAAACATGTCTGCGAATGCCATATCAGCCATCTAGCAGATCTATCGGATTCACAGGAAGCCGCTAAAGTAAATAAGCGATATAAATTTGCTTCTGTCCCCGTTTATGTTGACGGCGGTAACGGTACATGGCCCGATGGCACTCCAGTTGTGGGTGCCAGCAATCAACCTAGTGCATTCCGTCGATGTTTAACAGCTGGATTTACTCAATCTGGCTTAAAATTAAGATACAGTTTCTGTTTCTGGCCTTTGAGAAAAATATTATGTCAAAAAGGTGACTACTTGATATAAAAATAAGGGCTATTTTGGTATCATGCTATTTCTCAATGATTTTTGATAGCATGATTGGATTCTATTAATATTTTTATGTATCATCTGTAGCTGCTAATTTAAATGGCGTTAAGATCTCAACCTTAAAATCCGTTCTAAACCCATCATTCAAGTGGAAGAAAGCAATTCGATCCAAACTGGCTTCTAATTCGCCTTATTATAGTAATACCTTTGTTGATGTAAGTAAATAAAGATTACTGTATTTCCCTATCAGTTCTATCTAAATCTCAATTGTATGCTTGCGCATAATTATAATTTGCTGTTTTTTATACTTTTAAGGCTGTGCAAGATGGTAGGGTATACGTATCAGAATTTCCTGAGCTTAGAGGAATAAGAACCAGCCCCGATTTTGAAGAAATACCAAATGATGGTAGAACTATGATGACTTTAATGTCGCCAATTGCAATCTTTGTTTCAAATCCGGACGTCAACCATGGAGAATTTTTGCCTGTTGCTATTCAGATCAATAGTACTCAAAATTCGCCAGTATATACACCAGATGATGGCGATAACTGGACCATTGCTAAAATTTTAGTTCAAATGTCCGCTTTTACTACCGCTGAATTATTAGAACATTTATTGCATACTCATCTAGTCAACGATCCCTTATGTGTATCAGGTAAACGAAATATACCAATAACACATCCTGTGGGCCAACTTATTCGCCAACATTGTAGAGGAACATTGACTACGAATAAAGTTGGCGAATTAAGCTTAATACCACTCGGTGGTAGAGTGGACAGAATCCTGACTGTTGGATTCAAGGGACAAAATGACGTTATAAATAATGGATTTAATACCTGGTCATTTAATAATCACGACCCTAATTATCGATTAAAGGTTTGAGCTTAACTATTTTTTAACGAGTTGAATAAATTTTGTGCTACAATATATTAAACGCAAAATATTGAAGTACTTATCGTTCACTACCGAAAAAAATTGACCTAACTGTTATATTAAGCAATAGAATTATAACTGAAGCTGCTTGTAGTAATTGCTTAGTAAGACAACGATTCTGCTAGCTTTGGTTAAAAGCATCACCTTCTGGGCACTTAAGCAGCAATATCTAGTTTATAATGATATAAAAATTTGTATTATCGAATCACTGAACAGTCTACCATTAATTGAGTACAACGTTTTGTAGTATATACTAATTTAAGTCGCTATATATTATATTTATCATGAGTTAGAAATCTGGATTATTGGATAAGCAAGCACTTCCTTTCTTTCCTTACCGAGATGATGGGCTAGAATTATATAAAGCTATTGGTGATTTTATACGAGATTACGTTAACCTGTAAGTTTAATAGACAACTGACCTGGAGGAACAAATACAATAACCTTCGATTCTAATTTTACAAATTAATTTTCTCAGATATTATGTAGATGATGCAACTGTAGTTGCCGATCATGAAATGCAACGTTGGGCAAACGAAATTGCTTTAGGTGCTACAGGTACTCCAGACTCAGGCAAAGGCAAAGTGAGTAATAACTGTATCCAGTGTCATTTTGAGTCACCTAGAGCTATGTATTTTAAAGCTAAACTTTATTGCAATATATGAACTGATGTTAATAGTATTCAGAGACTACAAAAAAACTATAATTCGTTATCATTACTTACTTACTTAAACTGGTATCGTCTCGCTTAAATATGTAGTTACGCGACTTCCCTCAATCTTTCACTACAAAAGCTCAAGTCATCGATGTATTGCATAAATTCGTTTGGTCTTCTTCTTGCCAACATGCAGCAGTTAATTTTCCAGTCATTGAATATGGCACTTTTCTACCTAATATGCCTGGTAAAATTTATAACGTGGACGGTGTAACAGGATTTGACCCAATAAAATTCCCAACCAAGACCCAATCTTTAGTAAGTATAATTATCCAATAAGCATTTATCATTAGAATCTGCGACGTTAGTAGACAAACAATATCGGCAAAATTTCAAATTTTATGAGTTTAACTGTAAACAATAGTACAAGGTTTGATACTAAATTTTTCAGGATAATTACAATTATAATTAGTAACACTCTACATTCTTGAACAAGATAATAATAATTAACCACAGCTAAAGTACTATAGGGTCATCATTTACTTTACCTCATTAGCTTTCCAGTACTAATATTTCGCAATAACAAATTTATCTCTAATATTTATTTCTTCTATCCTAGACTCATGTAGAAGTTGGCTTCAACTTGGCTTCATTACATTTCGATAGTTTGTTCGATTATGCAGCTAGCATGGCAGATAGCGATGCTGAAGAGTTGGTCTTCGAATTCAAGGCTCGCATTGATACCATTCAAGCTAATTTAGTGGCTAGAAATAACGCCAATGTTGCCAATGGCCATTTGAGCTATAAGTACCTTCATCCAAAAAATGTACCAAATAGCATTAGTAGTTAAGACCATTTCAGATATGGATTCTAACAGCAATATAACATAATTTTACATTGTAACATCGATAGTACGGGCATATTTAAAATCAGCAGTAGCATTGTTGCTATTTTCACATATCAGTTAAAGCTACATCTTATTACTTTATGAATAAGTAACAGAATATAGACCGCGATATTTCAGAAAAAACTACAAGCTTCCACTCTTGTAATAAGACTAACTATCTACCTTCGCTAATTTACTTCATTAAAATGTAGGAACTATCTAAGTTAAGCATAAATTATCAAATCATATAAGGTTAAAATAGACTATCTAATTTAGAATGATAGTGTATTATGCATTATAGCTCTACGTTTGCGATGTAATCTACCAGTTCACTATGATATTACAGAATAATTATTAAATTGCCGTATGGCATCCTTTTTGCTCCAGACACGGATTTATTATTAACATCATATCGATCTAATTCTAATATATTACGCAAAATTACCGTACTTAATATTATAACAGATACGCTCATATTTATTGAGTTTCTTTCTTTATTCATTCGCTATTACTGCAAAATTTAGTTGGGTATGAATAGTGCGCATCCAATTATTTCGTAGAAAATTTCACTTTCTGTATTAACTGGTAAATGCCATCATTTCTTCAAGTATAATTAGTCCGCCGTAAAATTTTTTCCTTCCTCTCATCGAATTCGTAATTTTATTAACTTGTGGTCCTTGTATCGCAATACAAGCATATATTTTAATTGCCTATATGGACAGTTACTTAGCACCATATCGTATTGACGTTATCCCTAATTTAATAATTTATTATGCTAAGATGTTAGATTTTCCTAAGGTAAAATTTAATTCATACGATAACATATGATTTGTCATGGATATCTTTATCTTAAAACGTCAAAGCATGGATCTTACTAGTTTTACCTCCTCCTAGTCACAATCGGAATGACAAAATCTGCTTTAGTGTCCTAAACCTGGTAATTGTCGTTAGTTTAAAAGTGAGAGACAATTAAATAGACTAGTTTTAATGCCATATATTCTAATACTAATAAAGGTATCCATTTCTTTCTTATAGCAGCTTGAGGACATTAGTTTTATTAAATTATATTTAGTAAAACTTTATCCTTGTAATTTACTTGTTTGCTACTCGCTTATACGAGAATGTTACCGTCAATTTTAGATATTTCATTTAGCAAAATAATCATTATATACCGCAGTATAATGGAGAATACTACGTACCTAAATAAAAATTCAGACTCTAACCTTACCTATATCATAAACAAATATATACCTGTCCTAACTGAGTAAGATAATTCGCATGAAATAAAATATAAAGAGCATATAATATTCAGGATTCTGTGTACTTTTATGACTACCAGAAATAGTCCTACAAAATGCTGTTTCAAGTAATGTTGTCCAAAAGGACGAAACTTAAAATCTTTACTCAGCCATTCATAAAGTTAGCCAAGATAAATAAATCAATAATGATAATGATAGATGCTGAGAAAATTACGTGCCTGTATGATTCTAGAGGGGCGTAAGCTGATATTTCAGTTAATACCTCCTGCAAGTGGTGCATATCTTTTAAGCCGTAATTATAAGTTATCATTTACTGTATCATCCTTTAAGGGCCAGTAACTATTCAATACTGTATATGGGCCGTGGAATTTCAGTGCCTGAAGTTGTTTGCGGATGCAATCACCTCTAACTAGTTCCTAAAATGAATACTGTCATACCAGTACATCATATTTGTAGGCTCTATTGCATGACATCAGTGTCGGTGCATGAAAAAATTTTTGCCCCATTTTGATTAATTATATAAGTAAATTATCATTAATTCTCTGGTCGAATATAGACATTGATCTACAGTGAAATAATAGGACTGCTGCTTATTAAGCATCGAAACAATGGTATATTTTGTGCCACAATCAGGCCCCAGTAAATACATCAACAAAATTCTTTACAACTTTCAATCAAGTGGCAGTCGAATCCACGAATAGTAAAGTGAACTTAAGAAGTTAAAGAGCAAATTCTATGTATTTATCCTAGTAGATACTAAATAGAAATCCTGACGAGCTGTATAAATACAAGAACATAGGTAAAAATAGCTATATATGCAAATGAATAAACAGAAGCATATATTCTTTTCGCCTCTTCCATTGCCATGTTAAGTTATTCATTAAAAAAGCTAAATTCCTTGAGCTAACGGACGCGGAATTAATAACAGGCTATTTCGAACTCTTTTCTCTCCCAATCTTGGTTGTGTCTTATTATTAGCAATTTACAGTTGTTACATGACAAATTTTAGGCTGCTCAATTGTTTACTTACGAGTAATAGAAAAACTATCAATATATAGTTCTGTCGTAACGTCGTTTGTGGTACAAGTAACTAATTTTATTCCTAACGTAACCGCTCTACCGTAATATACCGTTGCTAATAAGCTTCACTAACTCGACCAGCTTAGTATAAGACCTTATTCAGCAGTGTGTATATCCGGATAACTTCATAAATCCTCTTTATTCGAACGATAACATATATTACTAGGCAATGTAATAAGAGAACTCCTTCTATGATTAAAGGCACGCTCTTATATACCTATGCCATTTTCTATCAGCATAATTCTATTTACAATATACTTGATTTTGTATAACATATATTTATGACAGTCAGTATAGAATAGATATATGTAAATTAATATTGAGTGTTTACCACTCTTACTCCAGTTAACAAATCAACTAGACATGTTACTTAATAACTCATTAATCAAGTGTGGCAATCTTTATCACACATTCATTAATGGAAATCCATTAACGACTTAACATATCGCAACTCTACTTTAGAAAAAATATGAATAAATATTTCTTTTTTTATTTACGGTAATGATGAACCGTAACAAGTACGTATTACGAACGGGTTATTCATGCAGCCCATTTATTTGCTACCTAGTAGCAAATTATATCGGAGTTTGTCGAGTTATGAATCGTTCCATGGCAATAATAGCTTATACACTGACCGTAACATATACGTTTGAAATAAGAGATTACATCAAGCAATTTATTAGCAATTATTTTAAAAGAATAACTGTACTACTTAGCAACAGGTGTTCTATTAGCTTATTTCCGAAATATCAAGAAATACTTTTCGTACTGTCGATATTCTCAAACTATTAATCTTTTAAAAGTTTAGAATTTTATGTCAGAAACTCATAAGTCGCCTGCGCTTGAAAATAATTAAGTCTAGAAGTGAATTTATAGTAATTAATAGAGAATTGGAATTTATCTATGGCACTGGTAATAATGTGAAAGGCTTTCGTTCAATTTTATGATATCCATCAACTATTAAGATGTAAAAAGATATTGGGCATTCATCTAGAAATGATATTAGTATCTTGCAAATTGATACAACTACTCGAGATGCCTTGTTAACACTAATATTTACATGGTGTTACGGTGTTGCCTTGTCATTGGGATAGTTTAATAAGTACAGTAGTAGCTAGTACGGAGAATATCCATATTTGTAGTTCTAGGTAAGATAAGTAATGCCTTAACGTGGATGTTGTTTGTGATAGTTCATTACATATTTGATATTGATTGTTATTGTGTGATAAATAGCAGTAAGATGATTCAAGTTCTAGTTGATGATAGTTGAATTAGACAACCTACGTGCTTAGATTAAGATTAAGTAAGAGTAAGAAATACAAAATGTTTACTGATAGAAAAGCTATGTAACGAACATCTCATTTCGAGATGTTTCTCCTAGTAAGGTATAATAATAATACTGTTGTTTACAAATTAGACTTTTCCTATATAAACGGGAACATTTGAGTTGAGTGGGGTAGTAAAAAGTTGTAGATGTGTCTTTGCTAATAAAAGTTTTATCTTTACAGTATTTTGCTGTGTGTGTTTAAAGTTAGGTAGAAGGGCGTTTAAGTCAGTAGCTACTTATAGACTTTTACTGTACGTTACCTTGTCGCAGAAGTAAAATTGTGACACATGGTTTAAACGTAATATCTTAGTGTTACGGTACGAGCCACTGTGAAAAGTATATGACTAAATTTAGTGTTTAACATTCATACATGGAGATAACTAATGATGACTTACAGTAAGAACTGCGGTAGTTATTATTTGTTACAGTAAATTATGCTGCATTGTAGTAAAAGTTCTTATAAGGTAACCAATAGTAATTGATTATAGCGTTATGTCTTGTAACGCTTATGATGAATATCCTGAAGATATTCAATTATAGGTGATACTATAAATAATTCTGCGTGTGGACATACTGTAGTCTAATTATCTAGAATCGTTCGGTACATGTCCAAAATTATGAATAATTTCTGTATTAATTTAGCTATCCAATATGAGCTAAATTTCATGAACCGTTATGACTCCTACATGATAGCTGCTGCCGAAGGGTTAAGCTCGGCAGATAGTTGAATAAAAGAAGACTTATATAGTTGTTTTAACGTAGAAGCAAAGGCGTCTAAATTCTTGTGAGGTAGTTTAGGGATACTGAATCCTGGAGACTAGAGTAATTTAGAGATTTGTTTTACGTTATCTTTGTCACGAAGCTGGTTAGTGACACTTAGCAACAACTTTATTTTTTTCATAATTAATTAATTAATTAATTAATCATTAACGTAGGATCTCCTGGTATAACATTTAATCTCTCAAGAATATTTATTGAATTTTATGTAAACAAACTACTTTCAGTGACTATTAAATTAAAGAATTCTTCTAGCAATCTAGTCAATATCCCGTCATAGAATTAAGAACAAAACAAGCGAGCATTGCCTGATGGGGGCTAGCAAAGCAAGCACCTAATTAACTCCTACTGTTCCGAGATCTCGGTACCGTACATAGCATATCAGTTTGTCGTTCACAATTTTATAATATTGTCCTTGAGCTTATCGTTTAGAGGCCAAGGTCAATTCCCATAGCACATTCATATTGAATATATAATACTAAAGGCAGAATACGCAGACAATTTTATGTAGCTTTGCACTTAAGAAATATTTTCATTGTCTCGTAGAAACAATTAGTAGCCATATATCTCTTAGTCAACATTAGATATATTGACTTTTTGGCCTCAATACTTCAATTAAAAATTACAAAACCCATCCTAGGCTCATTATTTATCTGTATTCACTATGATATCATTTATCGAATCAGAGCTATATAAGAATAAAATACAATAATTCTTTTATTTTATGCTTTATTTACTATCATCGCCAAATGAGCTAATCATACGTATTATAGGGAAAGGTATGTAAAAAAGAAATTTACCAGTCTTTCCATATCAGTATCTGAAATCATTATGAAAATACTACAAGCATTATGAAATATTAACCTTTAACCTTTAAATTAGCTAACGAAAGTCCTAGTACAACATGGTAAAAGCAAATATTTTATTGTATACAACGCATTGATACTTCTTTTTAATTTTTTCTCTTAGAAATAAATGATGAAAATTTTGGCGCTACAAACTCAAAAATAAGCTATTATTGGAACTTTTAGGAAAAGCAATGTAGTTTAGTCAAGTTTTGTGATGATCGATAGATGTATTGATAGATATAGAATTAGCGTTATATTACTTCGATGTCAAAGCATATTTTGAGTAAGCTTCACAGCTTCATATTTTTATAGCGTCTCGTAGATTAGATTGATATCTGTGATATTGTTTAATTAAAATTACTGCCTTTCGTTTTACGTGGACAGAAAAAGTATTTCAGCAGTAACAATATCTTCAGATATATTTCAGCATAAGCATAAAGAAATAAAGGAGGCTTTAAAAAATGATTCAGAGTGATTAAAACTAGAAAATAGAGTGTGATTAAAGTAAAGGTATGACGGATTGAATGAAAGTTTATTAGATTTGGGAATAAATTATCAACCAACTTCATGCCATTAAGCTTTGCGTTTTAAGATCTATTTCTATCGTTACATGCAATAATCTATAATTTTACATTGTATAAATAGCATTATACGAAATCTCTTTAATGTCTTTCTATCAGAATGAATTACCTGATAAAATAATTATTAGCCCACTAATATTTAAAAGCAAATATAGTAGGTAATGGTATCAGAATGATATTTAGTTAATACTGCTCATATATCATAACACCATGACTTAGTCACTACTAGGCTATTATAGAATAAGATCATCTTAGGATATCTATTACAAAATATTATCTCAAGAGTCTTAAAAGCACCAATCACGTTTATTTATCTACATAACTGGTTCTAGCGCTAGCTAAATTGATCGAGCTCTGAAAATTATTGATTAGAACGAAAAATCTAGCAAATGAATAAATCTTGTTAAGTTTGAATATTTATTAGAAATTGTTGGCAGCGCAACTAATATGGTAGTATTTTGGGGTAATAGAAGTCAACTATAATCTACTGTACAATGATTTCGCTCTCCTCTAAAACATTAGACGACTCTAATGTTTCCTTTATTAGTAACTACGTAGTAGTGATACTAATTATTATGATACTATTCCATTATACAACGTTTATGCAAAACAGTACCATACACTAAGAATAGATCATAAAATGAAAGCTAGATTAAATTAATAAAATTATCTGTATTCTTGCAACAATTTTACTTTAGCTATACTTTTATAGCTTCAATTAACCGCTGTAAATATTTAGCTAAAATATAAAACCATGATATGACTATAATATCACCAATTATAAAAGGATGCTAAAAAATGAGAACCTGTGTAACAGCCCAGACTATACCCACTCCAAAGTATACCCCAATTTATACCTCTAGAATCGTTTGTAAAAAGTCGTACTAAGGTATTTTTACTATCAGAAGTATTTTGGAAACGATAGCACATTGGCTTGCTCCAAGAGAATCATTCCTAGTGACTTAATGTCGTAGTTTCTATTGTTTTAAGTTTAGGAAAATAAATGGATCCTAACCTTCAAATTTCGAAAATATGTTTATAGACGATGCATCTTATTTTAAATATTAACTGCCGCATTTAGTTGCCCCCGAACGGTTTTTTCATTATTACCGTAACAATTGTGATTTAGCAAAGCATTCATTAATTAGTGAAACAAAACTAATAATCCAATTAATTATAATGAATTATCAATATAAGGATCCTTTAATGATCCCTTAATTTAAATATTCATTTTTATGAATAGGGGCAAAAATTCTTTATAATTTTTATGCTCCATGTGCATTACCATATCTTACGTAGTTATGTTTTAGCGCTTATAATTTTTAATGGCTGTAAATCATACTTTGATAAATAATAATTTCTTAAATCTAGTCTTTTCCATTATTTATTCTCTAGCCGAAAATGTATCTTTGATAATAGTAAATGTTATTATATAATTTTATTGTGATGATAATTAAACGAAATCTTGAAGTAAGGCATATAAAAATTATGGATTCAATTATCTATCTTAAATTCTAGCAGTCTAGCCATCTGTATTGCCTGTAGGCTACGTATTTATTAAGAAAGTATTATTTAAACCTGATATTATTAATGCTTATAAGATTTACCATCTAAATCTTCTTCGAAGTGGTCTTTTGGTTACAAAAAGTCAAGCAAAATAATTTCAGCGAATCAAATAAGATCGAAAAATGCATGGCATTGTAGAAAAGTTAGATCAATATTAACATAGTGTTCATTGAAGCGATGTCGAGCACAATGATGAATAATTGTTTATTAATTGTTTTAAGTCAATCACATTGTCATCATAATCTATTGCACTATTAACAAATAATTAAGGCTGATTAATCATTGCTGTCAAAAACTGATAAACAACTTGATACTTCTTAATAATTCTCACGTTGAATTGATTAGGTTGCACAGTGAACGATCAGATTCATTTCGTTGTCTCAAAATGAAGTCTGTATTGGCTCTTATAGCCATCTTTGCCATCTTGCCACTACCCTCATCACAATACGAGCGTTTAACAAGGTAGGGGAAGCTATACAGCAAAAAGAAGGGTGCAAAAAAAGTGTTTCATACTATTTCTATTGTGATATAATTGGAGATTTAAGCCAAAGCGAGTAAAAACTGCATTTCACGTCTTAAAAACTAAAGAGACACGAAACACACTATCTATATCTCTACATAGATCCCGTTGTTAAATTTAGTTACATCATTGTGATCAGCTGATTTATTTAATTGTGGGCATTTTATGAAGTACGAACAACTTGTTGCTAATTCTATATCAGTTTTTAAATATCCTTAGAAAAATAGACAGTTTGATTAGATATATGGAATAAGTAATAATTTATGTTCCTTTTATTGCAAGTATCATCGCTGGCTTTCTCAATAACAATGTTTGCGAAGTGGAGAGGTAAAAATCTTTTCTGTGTTTTAAGTTTGATACTATGCCAGATCCTATGTATCCTATGATTATTTAATTACTCATTTAAAATTAAATCAGCGATGGTCAAAGACTAAATAGCATCATTAAGAACTTAAGCATAAAAAATCAAAAAGATCCTCAATGTTGTGAAGGTTGGTCAAGGCCTAATGGAATAATTTATGGCGAAGATCCTTGTTTTACACGTAAGTAGTTTTAGAAACAGAATATATTTGTCATTATGTCAAGGCAGTGATATTTCATGCACTTTGAATAGCAATGCATGCGATATGTTAATTTTTCAAAGACATGATACTATTCATAAATTAGCTAACCTCATGTAATGATCTTACTCTGTAAGTGACCGTTATGATCTTTAAATTGCCACAAGCTCATAATTGCACTTTATCCGGTACCGACTATATGATACAGGATAGTTGTAGTTGATCGATTTGCTGTAAATTAGTGTATTATATATGCATTGCCAGACATTGTAGTATTAAGTTGCAATGTAATATTTATGGGATTCGTTGCAAAATGTTGTTGTAAAATTAAAAAGTAATATAAGAGACGTTACGATAACGGTGCAAGAAAACTATAGTGAAGGAGTTGTATGGCGCTGTCTATAATTTATTTGACTTATATAGAATATGAAGCATGGATTAAACGTGAACTTATTTGAAAAGTTAACTTACTCTGTAACAGTTACCATACTAGCAATTAATCTAGTAGAAAATTTAAATTAATCGAAAACTGAACCTTTATATTATTATGCCATGAACACAGCTGGTGCGGACCTTATTGCTTTATGATAGAGCATTTAATGTACAGTACATTACAGTCCATTCTATACCTGATTAATCGTATAAAGAAAAGCCATTTATAACAATTCATAAAAATTTGGATAATATTAACTCATAGTTGATTTAATCTTGATTATAAAAGTCAATAATTTAAAGCATTCCATTATCACTACGCATGTAGTAGTCTTTGTCATCGCTAGCAGTTTAGAATTCCCAAACCGCTAAATTTTAACGCCTTATGTGTATTAATTCAAGAAATTTAAGAAAACTAAAATTTCAATCTATTTAGCTGTTTGCCGTCAGAGTTGTGGTAAAGGTGAATTCTGCATCTTACCAGAAACATGTTTATGCGTTGGAATTTATTCAGATTGCTTCTTTAACAGCCAATTCTTCAAAAGCCAAGATAATAGTAAGTAGAATGCCATATTGGCCAACTATACAATCATAGTACTTGATTTATAAATATCCTTACAAGGCTTCGGCAATGGAATAATTAATTGCAGTGATTATTGTCTATAATTTGTAGTTTAATCATAGCATTACTTAAAATATTCACGTTGATCATGACTCCTCCATAATTTTGTAACAATCTTGATTTATCTCAATTGCAACACTAAACAGAATCAGTAAAAATAATATTAAAGACGATATACGCGATACAGAAGTTCTTAATGATTACATACGATTTATAATAAATTATGGACTATAAATTATTTGTTATCATCAATCGATTTCATTCTCAATGCTACGATTGGTCCCTAACTAAATAATCCATTTATCAAATTATCAGATTAATTATTATATGTATAGATCTTGGAGCTAGTTACCTAATTCATTTCTTAAATTATCCTTGTAAAATAAAAGTGATGTGACTTCTTCTGATCAAGAATATAGACCAATAGGTCAGTTAGAAACTTCAGCGTTTACTTTAATTAATTTTTATTGTCCTTTTCAGTGTTTATATTAATAATTATTGATTTTACAGGCCATTATATATAAATTCATTTATATAAATTCATATGTATATGCTTTATGCTATATTTCTTAAGCGTTTAATTTGACTGAAGTAAAATAGAAGGCTTCTCCTTTGCGCGTATGATAATTATCTAAACATCATTACATCAAATTTGCAAAGTCTATTACATTTTATCCATCGTCGAGCTAACTCGGCAGTATCGTTAAAATATCGTTTGCTTGCTTAAAATAAGATAAGTAAACTCTATGCAATGTTGACGTTTCACCCTTATAAATATAAAATTTAAGATAGTATCAGACTATAGCAAAACCAATTGATTGTTTCATTTTAAGTGACTACAGTAACTATGCAATGACCCTGATTATACAATCAATCATGCTATTAAAAAGTGAAGAAATGGCTCTATCCTATCTAGACCTGTTGAATATATAGAGATGCGCTAATCATATATTGATATTCGTATTCGTTGTATACTCATCACGGTACTTAAACAATATATTATGTTAACAATCTCCGAATTGGTTAATATCGTATCAAAGACCAATTTGCTGTGTTTTTATCTAATAATAGCTCTTTATCTCTACAATTATAAACAGCTGATTTACTTATCGAATCTAAAAAGGATCATAAATTGGTTGGATTGCCTCGTAGTAACCATACTTGTCCAGTCGATATACCACAATTCGTTAGTGCAGCATGTTTAGCGGATCGTCAAACTGAACTAGCCCAAAGTCAAACTATATATGCATTACGTCAAACACCAGATTTTAATAATCCTCTGCGGGATCCAACTGTGTTAATTCCACCACTATGGGATGCCGATCCAGGCACAGCATTCGGTGTTGCATTTAGTGATCCATTGGAAAATCCATGGTTTTTTTCGTATCAATTCACGTTACAGGACAGTGCTAACTTAGCGGCCACTTTCCTTACCACTGGCAATAATTCTCTTCGAGACTTTACCGTTATTGAAGACTACAAGGCGTTGTTTTCCTTCTTTTACGATGCGCAGTTGGTAAGTCACTTTATGTACTGTATTGCTTTTGATATAGAACTGAACCTTGATCTTAATAAAAATTCTCTTCGTAAATATATATACGCACTAGCTTATAATTACGTTAGCGTTCTAAAATTTAATCTTACTCGCGTATCTGACTCAGAATTTCAGATGAGATTAATAATTATATAAATCATTGATTGTCTTCTTTCAATAACTGCAAGTCCTCACTTGCAGCAAATGTTTTATCTAAGTTATGTTAAACTTAACGCGAAAGGATATTTTACTATTTATTGTAAAGATATTATAATGATACAAACATCTTGACTATATGAAGTATAACATTAACAGTTTCTTCATTGAGTGTACTGCACTTCCTACCATGCATTATATATATAGACTCAATTTGGTACATGGTACTCTAAAAGAATGTAAGCCTCAGTACTACGGGAAGTAGGTGCAAAGTATTTAATTGAGAATTTCACCGACAATATCCGAATCCGCCTTTTACTTCCTCCACCCTTATCATAGCATTTGAGATATTTTATGTTTATGAAAGTAAATATTAAGCCAACACTAGGCCATATTATGCTTAGTTAATAATTACGTGTATCAACAAATCAATATCAGCATTGCTAATAGCAAAGTATAATTGGAAGTTTTTGTTGATATGAAAGATTAACAGAGTAAAAACTATTAGCATCCATGCATTCTCATACTGGCAAAGTCACTCCATGTAAAATAAGATCCCTCAAAAAATTTGTACAGCAATTAGCGACCTATGACTAATAGTATTTTTAGTCAGTCTTTGCCAATTTGCACATCTAGAATAGGTATAAGCTTTAGCATCACAGAAATGGACACATCCCTTGAGGAATGAAATTTTGTCTATATTAACGGCAGCTGCATCCTACTCCTTTGACTCTTTGCGTGACTTTTTAAGACATCGCCATACTTTGCAACAGCAAATAAGCACTACTCAATAAATATTTCTAAAAAAATTATAGGTTAAGCAACTAGTTACGATCAGTGACGTTCGTCATTAGCTGAATTGTACAATAACCAAGAAAATTTGAATGATGATATAGTAATAAAAAAATATTGGCACACTTTGCTAAGAATGATTTGATTAATTTAATTTCTGAATTTAATTTAAGTACTATTTAGCAATTTTTCCTTTCCGTCAATTCTATACCTCGTCTAGATAATGTATAGGAGTCATTAATCTTAAAAGTAGATTGCTCAAATAGCAATAATACTTAGTATGGCTATCAGCTACGACCTTACATAGCTCATATGGGTAGGTGAGCCATTTCATCATACGAGCTATAATCAATAGTTACTTTATTAAGACGTACAGTTCTACATTGCATACTATCACTTTATTCCTTATACATGGCAACTGTGCCATAATTAGCTGAAATCATTCCAGGTGATTATAGCTCTGCAATTTTTAAGCGATCGATTGCAATGCGCGGACGTATCCTTTTTACTGTTCATTAAGTGACAAAAAAAAAAGAAAAGCAGATCGCATTCAATATTAGTTTTAAATAATAGATGGGAGTGGTAAAGGCGGAGAAATCTCTAGTCCGGCTGGCAAATAATATCTAGAAAGGAAAATTTGCGGAACTATATCGTGAAAAGAAATATACCTTCCGCTTAATGGACGCATGCGTCAAAATAATCAGCATACTAAATTGTCCTCGAATTATGATCTCGGGTGTGGCTAAGCCCTCGAGTGTCGATCAGGCTATTAATTTAATTTTAATTTTATTTTTTTGTTGATTAAATTCATCTAAGTTAGTATACAGCTAAGATTGAAATCTTGAAATCAATTGATGACAGGCTGTAATGAATTAATGGTAAACTCAAAGAATTTTGAGTCTCAAACTGTAATTTGGGAATGTGAGTTACTGTTGTACTAATCAACAGTAGAGTGCAACCTATGTGAAGGATAGTACAAATGCAATGCAGAAATATAAAGTACATAAGCATCATATAATGTGAATTGAATGCAAGCAAAGATAAAGAAACAACATAGGTATTAGTTCTGATACTATTAGACTTAGTCATAATCACATACAATGGTATACTGCTATAATACTGAGTTATAATTTATCATGCTAAAATAAGTTTATGCAGTGATCGTAATTAGCTGCACCACGAAATTTATTGGTAAAAATGGATAAGTCAGCTAATTGGATTTAACGACTTTGATAGGATGCTATATTTTAGTATAATCATATACTATGTAATTATTTTAAGAGCATACTATCAATCAAGAAATTTTTACTGATAGCAAACTTAGCTAAACCTATTCATGCTTTGTAAATTCATTACTTTAGGCACTAGGAAATCAACTCACGATGCCTAGTGATCTAATCATTGATAATTTCTCGGATGATAAAGTCTTTGCAGAGCAGCGTTTGGCAGGATTACATCCCTTGCAGCTATCCAGAGTTTTCAAATCATGTAAGTTGAAGTAGCTTTAATCACATTATTTATGAGTAATTTGTTAATAATAACACGTTCTCCAAAATTACCCGATCTGCTAATCAGATCTTAATTACCGGTAATGGTAACTTGAATTAAGCAACCAAAATATTAAATCTTGTATGTACATGTAGCTTGTCCACAGGGTTGGAAATTAATTGGTAAACATTGCTATAAAGCCTTTCGTCCATATCATTACACAAACTGGCATATTGCTCAATATAAGTGCAAATGTAATCATGGCCGTTTACCAATATTGTCGGATCCTACGGAAGCTAAACTTGTTAATAAGTACTTCAAAGCATGGTACTCACGTGTCTATGTGGGAGCAAAATATGGTAAGTGGCTGGATGGCACTACCGTTGAAAATACTTACAACACACCAAGCTACTTCCGAAAGTGCTTATCAGCTCGTTTTTCGCGATATGGCTTGCGCTTGTTTTATACTAGCTGCTTTAAGCCTGTCTGGAAAGTTGTTTGTCAGAGAGGTAAGACAGAAATAAATAATTCCATTTTGATATACCCTGTACAATATACTTGATAGAGCCACACGGAGCGAATAATACTTGTAAGATATACCGTACTATATCTTTCATACATGGATATCTCTTAATATTTCCTTTTAATAATGCTCAAAAAATAAACATTTGGTCTTACTTAGATGCTATTTTCGATGGTACTAAGGTTTCTGAGTTAAAACCTTTCTTAAATCCTGATTTTGGTTGGAAGAATGCTATTGAGTCCAAATTGAATTCGCAAACATTTGGTAATACTGTAAATCAAGTAAGAAAGTAATTTATCATGTTACTGTTATTGTAGTGATAATTGAGCTTCCTTGGATAATTATTGTCATCGATGATAACTGTGTAAATTGTGTAAACATAAAATAAATTAGGCTTTGGAAGATGGTCGTATCTTCGTAATGCAATTTCCAGAATTACGAGCACTTCCGCAAGGACCTGACATCAACGAAGTACCCACTGATAATAGAACAATGCAAAATACCTCATCGCCAATTGCTATATTCGTATCTAATCCCGATGTCAATAATGGTCAATTACTGCCAGTTGCAATTCAGATGGATAGCACACCAACGTCCTCAGTTTTTACCCCTGCTGATGGCGATAACTGGTCTATTGCTAAAACTCGAGCTCAATTAGCGACATATGTCTCCAGTCAACTTGTTGAACATCTCTTAAAAACTCAATTCTTAATGGATCCAGTCTGCGTTGTTGGTAATCGACACTTGCCCTTAAAGCATCCGTTACGCCAAATTTTACGCCGTCATTGCGTTGGCACGTTAACCTTGAACAAATTTGTAGAGCTAAGTCATATCCCTCAATTTGGCCAATATGACAATATAGCCACTGCCGGCTTTGCAGGCTTTACGGAATTGATAAATCAGCAACAGAAACTATCTTACCTTATTATCCATATCGTGATGACGGCAAGAAAGTCTTTGATCTGTTACGAGACTTTACGGAACAATATATTTCATTGTAAGTTATTTACTAGCTATAGTATGCTGTTCTTAATATATACGTAAAGTACTTTACAACTTAAGATGTATATGGTACAATACTTCTCTCATATTCTTAAATTTATAATTCATAACACTATCACTTTGTGCTATGTTAATAAATATGTATACGGGTATAATGTATTGATGCCTAGTGTGAATTATCATAGCATACTGATATACCGGTTAATTTGATAATGACGAAATCTTTGGTTTAATGATTTTATTTTTGAGTAAAGTGCTAACTAAAAATAATTCAGGATTAATAGTAGCTTTAAAATTAATTAAGAAAATTCATACGCCATAACGTACTTATCCAATTAATTGGCAATCGTTGTCTACTTTCGTTCAATTTTATCAATTCTTAATAATACGTTACGATTCTGTAGGTCTAACGGGCTAGCTAAATACTCGTATATGTATCCTATTTTGTATATTCATATGCTATCAAATATGATATTGCTGAAATTATTCATGCCATTCTAATAATATTCTTCGTTTGTTAGATACTATGATAGCGATGCGGATGTTGTCAACGATTTTGAATTACAAGCCTGGGCTGATGAGTTGTCCAATGAGGCAACAGGCACTCCAAACTCCGCAAATGGCAAGGTAAATAGGCGCCCATTTTCGTTATAAGCTCAATTCTTGCTTTATCCTTTACGTTAAATAACAACTTCAGTTTTAATTTATTGAACAGATAAAAGATTTTCCTCCAGCGTTTCAAAATAGACGTCAACTGATCAATGCCATCCACTTGATTTTATGGACTGCATCTGGTCAGCACGCGGCTGTCAATTATCCTCTGCTTGAGTATGCATCCTTTGTGCCTAATATGCCTGGAAAATATTACGATGTCGATGGTGTTGCTGGATTTCAGCCAGAACGATTCCCTACTGGTTCGCAATCTATCGTAAGTATAAAGATTAAATGAATGTAAGAGATTATACGCGTAACCAATAAAACTTTGATGTGTAGCAGTCGTACTAACGTTACGAATATGATAAACCATCCTTTCAATTTCTTGTTACAGACTCAAGTAAATTTTGCAAATTTGCAAACTACATTACGCCATGATAGCCTTCTTGACTATGGAGCTGACATTGAAGACCCACCAGCACAAGCATTAGTTACCAGCTTTGCTGCTCAGTCCAGTACTTTAGAAGCTAGTCTAATTGCTACCAACCTACAAAACGTAGCGGATGGGCATTTAAATTACGCCTACTTATTTCCGTCCCTTATTACCAACAGTAACAGTGTTTAAATGCCTTTACTTCGTGGTTGATTAAGACAAATTCCTATTTTAACTTAGAAATAACGTTAAAAAAATAGCTTCGCTTTATCATTGTTGTAGTTGTGATACTAGAAAAAAAAGAATTGTAACCAGTGTTTGTTTCAATTTTGAAACCATGTGCTTTTGTATGCTTTTCGAGATTTAGCTATAAATATCGCAATGTCTTTAATTTTTATACGGTGTTAATTATATATTAATAGTTATCAAAGTTCAGATATCGGTATCGTGGTGGATTTTATCATTTGATCTACTGAAAGCCTTATTTCTACTTTAAGGCATACCGAGCCAAAACTGAATAGATTGTACATTAGAACTTCGTATGCATTATCCAGTACATTTTAAGCAACAGTTCTCGAAAGTCAGCTATTAATCATCACTTGCAGTCTAACGTCGCATTGGATTATTTCATTTTTTCAACAGTTCTTCTATTTTAGCGTTTGTATTGAGCTGATTTCGTCTTACAACGTATATGACTATATATGTATAAACTTGAAATACGCGTAGAATGTTAATGTACTTGCTTCTCTTTACAGTACCATACTTCTATAATTGCATGTATGCGTATCAATGCATTTCAACTAGAATAAGGATTATACGAGAAAGCTATCCAATTCATTGATTGCCAGCCGATCCAATTGCAGTCCATTCCCAACGGTTTTATTATAGCGATACGCGATATTATCAGCGTGCATGGGGCTAGAACACATGCATGCACTCGGCACCGGTCTACGTCCAAGTTTAGCAATTTTAGGCCTTCAACTAGTCAATTTGCCGAGACAAATATTACCACAGCTCTTTATCACTTCATACTATTATTAGTCTTACTTATGCCCTCCATTACCCTAATCCTACATTAATAAATCAATCGTTAGACTGAATTCCTTTTTTATGCATGTTTCAAAACTTCTTTCAGATTCCGCGATAATATCTGCTATGCATTATTTTGCATCTTGTGTGTACACTGTACAGTAGATCGTCGATCTTCGACTACTAGATAAAGTATCGCAGTAGTCCATGGCTCGATGCTATCACTTGTCTTTTTGCAAGTTTGCTGGTTGTACAAGAGACTTTTTGAATATCTGCTATGCACTGTTTTGCATCTTGCGTGTACAGTATAGTAAAGTAGATCGTCGATCTTCGACTACTAGATACAGTATCGCAGTAGTCCATGGCTCCACGCTATCACTCGTCATTTTGCAAGTTGCCGGTTGTACATGAGACTTTTTGAATATCTGCTATGCAATGTTTTGCATCTTGTGTGTACAGTAGATCGTCGATCTTCGACTACTAGATACAGTATCGCAGTAGTCCATGGCTCAATGCTATCACTCGTCTTTTTGCAAGTTTGCTGGTTGTATAAGAGACTTTTTGAATATCTGCTATGCAATGTTTTGCATCTTGCGTGTACAGTATAGTAAAGTAGATCGTCGATCTTCGACTACTAGATACAGTATCACAGTAGTCCATGGCTCCATGCTATCACTCGTCTTTTTGCAAGTTGCTGGTTGCACATGAGACTTTTTGAATATCTGCTATGCAATGTTTTGCATCTTGTGTGTACAGTAGATCGTCGATCTTCGACTACTAGATACAGTATCGCAGTAGTCCATGGCTCCATGCCATCACTCGTCATTTTGCAAGTTGCTGGTTGTACAAGAGGCTTTTTGACTACCCGTCTCTACCTCATATCGTATGTACCATTAAGATACATTCACCGACTACATTGCACCGTCATTATTAAGGTTGAAAACGAGTTGAAACTGCGATGGTCCAAGAGAAAACTGCAAGACAAGAAATGGAATTGGAGTGAGAAGTTGCCCAGTCCAGTTTCCATTCCCTAGAGGTGTCTAACAGATGTCGTAGTTTGTCTTCACATTGCATAACAATACTACTTGAACTTGCGACATCTGTTCTGTACGTACTGGACAGTGGACGCTGGACACGAAGTACAGTGCACCGAGTGTACAGTACCAACCAGCGGCAGGGACGCTCAACGTGTGTTTTACTATACAAATTCAAAGCACCACTCGCACTGTACTGTACACTCACGTCGATCGCGTTGATCTCCCCACCAAGATGGCGGCCAGAGCTGTAGCCGAAGTCAAACCTTTATTATCATCTACCTCTATCGAAGCTAGAAGACGAGTCTTTAATCTCTACAGAGAATGGTATAGAGAGGTAAAATTGTCTACAGATGAAATTAGTCTAAATGTTATGCCGGAAACACATCATGCCCAAAATTGAACAGGAGTTGCTTAAGTAGACAGTGGAGATTCTTTCATAATAATTATCAATCATTTGCCATCTCAATCACATAATAATGCTTAGTATCCAGTTTACTGTCGAAACACAACCTTTTCATAGTGTAACTAGAATGATATGGTAAAGCTATGCAATGGATCGGTATAGGATCGGCTTGTTTCCTTACATCTGTTCTAATGATCTATATTTTTGTCGTCTCGAGTCATATTAATTGACTGTAAGGTCTTGACAACATTGTTGCTAATGGCTGTCGTGCACGTAAGATAGCATGCATCATTCAGTTAGTTCTTTACCCGAAGTTGATCATGACGCTTCCACATTCATAAGACTATACAGTAGAGACAGCTAAAATATCAATGTCAGAAAAGATAGATCATCACTGAGTGTTGTTGACTCCGCTTCAGCATCAGTATTGCTGTATTTGAAGTAACATTTCAGAATAGAATTGGTCACTGTTTCATTGACTAACCTGCGATGCACTTTTTGTAGGTCCCACGGGCTATACAAACGTATAAACTTGATATTACAGTGGATGAAGGCAGAAATAAGGTTAGGGAAATGTTTTTGAGAAATGCTGGAATTCATGACTTGCGAAAAATCGACATGCTGATTATCAAGGTTTGTGAAATCAATCAAATAACAATTGAATGTTTTCTAACCGATCAGTTCACTACTAAGAGCATACAGATTCATATTATTTCATGAATTACTTCGCGCCATTACATTTTATTTCAATGTTTCATTATGATACTTTACTTTGCTCTCATCCATCATTAATGGCATGTAACGTGTATCTTAAGTAGCTATCAAGTTAGTTGCCAAGTTTATACATCCCTTACTGTAATTGGTATTGATACTTTCCATTATAGGGTCGTATGGAATTACAGGAAATAAACAGCATATGGAAAGCTAAGACTCATATTATGAGATACTTTGAAGAAACTAAACCGGAAAGGCCTAAAGAATTTTTGTCCAAATTTTTAGATGGTCATTATAATTAATATGTACAGCTAATGCAGTAATTACTCTAACGGCACTATCGAACGGGTTGCGAAAACGATAGCCCTTGTATAGAGTGGAATATTAAAATTAAGTATAATCAACACGATTTCGTTATACACAGTAAAAAATTGAATGGCACAGTAGACAATACGTACGAGGCAAGACTATAGCTCATAGGATAGTTCTGCTTTCTTGCTTATTTCAATTTATTTTTAATCCAAATGCAGTATTTCTTTCAATATTGAAATTCACAAATCAACTAATCCCCTTGTTCATAACATCATTGTAATTGGTAACAGCAATTATGCGACAACACACTGCTAATTATGTTGATAAATGATAGCTAACTTCTGTGCTACCGCAAGTTATATACCATAAAGTGTAATCATGACCTAAAAAGTGTTAAGTGTAATGTGATGGCATGATATCGAATATTGCTTATTATTTTGCTGCTGTCAAAGGCGATGCTATAATACATGTTGTGCATATATTAGGAAGTAGTGTTACGAATAATTTCAGAAGAAGAAAAAAAGCTATGATTTGGGCATAATCTGTGAGCAATATAAATGAGTACTGATTTGGTTATTTGTCCTGTGTATCAATAAGCAGCATAACAGAAATAAATTTTTTATTTGAAAGATTCTATCATTCACGTGTGCATTTGGTAGATTCTTTCGATATACTCGTATATAGTGCATAACTTTTTACTGCAACCTTGCTCGAGTGCAAATCCTTGTACTTTTAATACTTACATTGATCCATCTATTTTAGTAGCAAGCTTGAGCAATCATTGGTTCGAAGACTCCACGACACTGTAGTTAGGGTTTATTACTTATAAAATGGTTTGATTTTTAGTTACAATTTTTATCTGAGATCGAACTATTAACAAATAGCTAGCAATTATTCTTCTGGTTGAATGTTACATTTTTTTTTAATTAATAATTTACACTGAAATAATATCCTAATAAATAACCATCATCCTTACCTTGAAGATTCAATAATAAAGTAAGTAATTTGTTGCGTTTTCTTGCAAGGTAACAGAACTTCAAATCGAATTGCTTCTCATAATGTGCTCAGAAATGAGCAAGCTCCAATGAATAGATTTTCGAAAATCTTACTTAGGTCTAAATATAATCATGGACTGCTAAAGAAATATTTTTAGTAATCCATGGTATAACTAACAATGCATTTCCGCCGTCCATCCTTCAATTTAACATATTTGGATCGAATCCTAAGCAGCCTCAGTTTACAGTCCGATCGATTAGTATGATAACTAATTATAATTAAATAATCGTACCTAACTTCGGTATATAACGGTTTTACGACTGATTGATAGCGAGATAATCTGAAATAGTCCGCTCTGCTTATCATCTCCTTCGATGTATGAAATAAGTCACCATTTGCATTTATCTCGTAACAAATTTATTTGTTGCAATTGTACTGCATTTTTATCGATATAGCAACATTTACATAATAGAAATCTTTGTTTTATTTGACAACTTAAAATGGAAGCATTTACCCAAGTTTGATTTGATTAAGTTTAAAATAGACTTAGTAGTACAGTAAATGCAACTCGTTTTAAGATGGCAAGTAACTGGAATCATACACCTATACAGACAAAGTTCCATTATTTAGCTACCTATATGGAGCACAGATAGATAATATCTAAGCACAGTTGCCTCAGCAATAGTAACTTTGATAACTTATAGAAATTGATAGATACGAATATGCAAGACTTTACAGTGCAAAGTTCAGATTATAATCCATTGAGTAAGTTTCCAAGCATAACTTCGTGGTTTGATATTTCACTTGCGAAGAATATCATACTTAATTATATATTTCTCATTGAAAGTGATCGATGAATAATAAAAAAAAATAAGAAGTAACTAGCTTATCTCTTTGTAAAATCTTTTAAAAATTAAATTATTTATCGTTATATTATGAACACTAAGTGCAGCAGTCTTTAATACATAAAATTGAATTAATTGCGGAGAGCCTTATCATAAAATGTTAAAAATAGCAAATAAGCCAATTGAATGTGTTAATTAGCTGATATAGATATTTTTTCGTTTCAAATTATTGGCAGTAATATTATATCTCCTTGTAGCTTTAAGATCATCGTTCAACTTCTAAATCTTTAATTTTATTTAAAGCTGCTCGCAAATCGAATGATAGTAATCTCTTCTCATCTTCTAGCGCAGAAATTTGTTCAGACAGTTGCAATACCAAGGTATTTCTCTTCTCTTCCAAAATAATCATGCTATCTTTATAAGGATCACTACCTGATTCTGCCGGATCATTACTGTTCCCGTGCAAAATCAACTGTCTGATTTGCTCTAAAAACCCAAAAATAAGTACAAAATTAAATCGTAAGATTTGTATTTACCTTTTTAAGCATTGCCCAATACACCTTCAACGATTTAATGATATCCCATATTTCTTATTCGCGTAGTAATAAGGTACCGTACTGAATCTCATACTATAATTTATTTCACTAATAAATTTAGTTCTAAATTTGCTATATATAGCATACCTTGCAAATTGTTATTATCTTCAACTAAGCGAGTGACCTTTTCTTTACTAGACATTAATTGCAGCGCTGATTCTTGTCTGCTTTTTGCGGAATTCGTTCGTATCTTGTCAATCCTTTTTGAATATTTTTCTTTCTAAATATATAATAAAATGCCAATATATGGCACTTATTACTAGCACAAATGATGCCCCATGAAAACTATTATTTAATTGATTAATTGCAAGATAATTTGAAAGCCGAATAGAAGCCTAAATAGTATCCCTACAAGTTTTACTACGGTTGATTCAGCTTGCCGTAAACTCTCTGTCAATGTATCTATTTTCTGAAAGACAGAGATGAACAATCATATGGGTTAATTTCATTTCGATTGCAATTATATAAGATCAAAGAATCATGAACGGAACAATGAATACAGCACTTTATGGCATGAAAATACGATTCAAAGTAAGAAATGCTGTTTCTTACGTGATTTTTATTAGTAATTTGCTGTTCATATTTTCTTTTGATTTCCAAAATGAAGTCACTATTTTCATCTTTGACAATTTCAAGTTGCCTTTCAGCATTGGCTAGAGCTTGCCGTAAATTTTCGTTTTCAACTTGTAATTCTACATTCTACCAGGTATTAATGTAGAAATTATAAGGTAATACATAGTAGCTTTAAATTGAATTAGATCAATTTATTCGGATTGATGGCTCATTAATCATATCATGAATGTGAATTTTAATAAGGAAAAGACGTAAACATCAACTTTCAATTTATCTAACAGTCGAAAATACATTGATATCTTAGCGAAGAAAAATTCTAATAATGATAAATTTGAGTAAATTTTAATAGATCGCATTATATCTTGATCATCTCTAATCAATTGAGAAGCAATAAGGTACTCTAAGCCTGGGATAAAATGAGCAATACAAAATTTAGCTCTATTTCTTCTATTCTTATGTTTTCAATACGGTTAAAATTAAAATTGAATGGTATAGCCGGTATACTCTTTGATCAACTATTACTTTATGATTAAATTCTGCTACTGCCAGTAAAATGTTAATAATATATGCATACAGATAGACCGTTAAAATCACTATTCTGTTACCTATTTCGTGAAGTACTTGTAGTAACAAAAGCACTATATTAGAGGAGTATCATGACTCAAAGTATATTTTATTATGCACTAGCTTTCTGCTCAAGCTCCAATTTTATGATACAATATAGATGATAGTTTCCCCTTGGACTAATGTCTTCGATTTTTATTTGGATCGTTAAGAAAAATCACCTTGTGATTACGCGATATAAATAGAAACTAGTATGTTGCAATTTAATCGAAACACTGATTGACTAGCAGTATAGATTAAGAATCGAATTAGAGTTGAAATTATTGCAAAGTTCTTGAACTTAATTCAAGAAAATCAAGAAATATTTCCAAAACTTCATATAAATGCCTCGTAGCTTAAGATATCACTGTAAACGTTGTTTGACTTAAATTTCTATTTGAGTAATTAATGTACCTGAGATTTAAGACGAGTTACATCCACCTCCAGTCGATCAAGCTGTTTTTCAGATACTTCTACCTCTGCACTTACTAATCGCATCTGCCAATCCGCTTGTCTCTACGAGAATTTGAATATAAAATTGCAACAGGTGTTCATAACAGTTTTAGAATTTCATTATCCAAAAATATCAATAACATGACAACTATGTTATATATACAGTATACCGAAAGGCAGATTAATTGGTCTGATTATTGGTACCTCAAATGGCAAAGTATTCTTAGCTTTATCTTCCGAAGCACTATTTCTAAATAGAAGATAAAAAATGAATGTATAATCAAATTGTAATTTTATTCCAAGCTTGATTTGATAAGCTATAAATCCATACAATCGAAGCTACGACTACCATATGTGCATACTGGTATGTAATACTTTACTGTACACACCGATGTATTAATGACATTACTACTTTATTGAGTTTTTAATATTAAAGTACGTCTATCTAAGCATATTATATACTGATAAATATGACAATTATGTCTAAAATTATCTAACTTACCCATTATGATTGGTATTATGATTATTTTTGATCACTTTTACGGTTGTCGATGGTGTTGATCCCATAGTTACGGTACCAGTCGACGTTTTAAACCGGACTTAAAATTATGCAAATAAGAGTATATGTTTTTTTTCAGCATAGTATAGCATCAACTTATTTAGAATAGCAGAATATCGTGTACTGTATTAAAATGGTGTTCTAGTCTAAATGTTCTGATCCCAAACGAATAAAATAAAATAAAACTAAGACGGGTCTGTTTTTATTTGATTTAAAAGTAATTTAGACCAACTGTAAGTAAATTTAGTCTACAAAATCCAAAAAAATGCAGATGCAATAATAACAAAACGATTCATGTCATATGATGATAATCGCAAGACTGATGTTCGCAGTGCTCAGTATTTCTCGTACAGTGCGATAATCATTCACGATATGATCGTGTTCTTCTATCGTGACTTCTGCAGTACTGCACTCGTACGCGGCTATTTTATCCCAAATTACTTCTTACCGCTAAATTACTTGTTGCTGTCTATTTCTAGTATAATATCGACATCGTAAGGTTTATGGCGTTATTGCTAGCATCATTTTCAACTTGTATATTTCACTCAAATTAGTAGTCAGCCGAATTAACAGTCTTTTCCATCGAACCCCTCCAGCATTTACGTCTACCAGCAATGACTGTAATTTACGTCAAATTACGGACAAATCATGTGTGCGTGTATATGATATAGAATGGGCCGTCCAAATCCTTCAGTGTATGTACATCAGTATACGTAGGAAGTACTTCGTGATACCCCGGGACTAGAGATCGACAGACCTAAGCTATGTTCCCGCACATACTATAGTTCTACTGTATTATATTGTTATTATTTACTATGCAGAAGCTTATGTTGCTACCACAAGTAAGGAGAAAATACTCGATCTTGTTTTTGTATCCGGGAAACCAAATAATAATAGTAATTACAGAATGACACTGAGTACAATATACTATAGTCGGTAAAGTAATACTGTATTTTATGAATAATAAATCAATATAATTATACAATAGTTTAATGACTCATCATCAAGTCTCCTTTAAGTAAACGGAAGAGGTCTTCTCCTCATTCACTACTACTCTTAGAGTTTCATTTATGCCACACCCTGAGAAGGTTTTACTTCATGCTTGATATTGGTGTATTTATTACTCATTATATCGTCCTCAGTAGAAAACCTAAAACCTAAATGGGTACCACTAGTACTGCATATAACATGACGTAATGTGTCTAATAACTGAAAGTCAAATTCTACTCTTGTTAAACTCTAGAGCGACATTCTTTCGCCTCGAGCGTAGATCTACAATAAGTGGTGCAGAGCTTGAATGAACTAGTGATTACTCATTATAACGTTTAACGTTCCAAAGCAGTTCTTTGTGACTGTGTCTATCGTCGTGGTTCAAAAAGCGCCGCAACATTTTTCAGCGGACTGTTATTTATGCGTGTGCAGTGACCATTTTCATACTTTCTGCAGTGCAAGATAGCAGTCCGTATGCAATATAATCAGATATATGATTGATTTTACGATATTCGTTCTACCGATTATTTGGAAGACTGCCATTCGTAGTACGAGTAATTGGTCCTCTGCTATTGATGGTTTGATTTTAAAATCTTGTACTTTCAGATAACTTTAAAAAAATAAAGGTAAAATCGTGTACTGTACTGTACATGGTGCAGCAACGGACTTGGTGCAAGTGAGGAATTTATTATGAGTCATTTCATACTTTAAAGTTACAGAATAAATAATTGCTACCTATGCCTCCATCGATACCGTACCTCATTTTTTAGTTCAGAATATGGATCTCGAATCACCTCTAATAAATATACGCTTATACGAGTCTATGTCTTATTCTCTTATAACTTAGTTTGTGCCAATATTGAATAACAAATCATGCCCATTCAGCGAGCTCTTCATTACGACCTAGCGATGAAAACAACTGACAAGTATCCATTGCAAACCGCAATGACTATCGTGTCCATTGGCTCATGATCCATTTTAGGTGATATAAACTGTACTCTAGTTTATGTCCAATCGGACTATAGCACATCGCGTTATAACGCCATATCGCATATCCGCCATCTGAAACAGGAAAATAGTTCATGCAGCAACGCGCAGTCGCGAATGCTGTACAATGTTGACTACAGGTACAGTCTACTGTCGTCCCGCTACAGTAGAAAGCGTTTCTTGTACAGTACTACACGAAAAATCAGACTGTGTCTCCATGGTGAAGAGATCTGGTCAAGATCTATCCAAGATCGTACGGAAGTATGGACAATTGGACATTGGTATATTAAGCCAGAAAGAGAAAAGTCCAACCTCCATACACATTGAAGATACACCGTACGATTCCGTAGAGTACAGTAGTTGGATTGGTATCACGTACAAGATGACCGCTGGCCAACTCCATTTCAACTGCTGTACCCTTAGTTAGGTCGTAATCAACTGGTTGGCAGGTTAGCGAAACTTGAATTTAGCTGCACTCCAGGATGGCCGACACCGGGAAGCCAATGTTTGCTGATTCTGAACGAGTGCTATGCTATCATGGGCCGCTTCTTTATGAATCGAAGGTAACGTAACTCTATTCATCATCGTTGATAGATCTGTATCATGCAGCTGGATGATGGTGGTGAATTGAATTGATTCGTTGTCAGTTTTGATCGGTTAATGATGGATATACTGTACAGTAATATGGCGCAATAATCATGTACAACTTGAAAAGGAATACCTTCATGGTATCAGCTACTGCTATTGAATGATGTTATCCTTCATCTTTTTTCTAGTGTATCAAATTTGAAATCGACGACAATAATGGTAAAATGAAATACTTGATCCATTACAATGGTTGGAATAAAAAGTAAGTAATACTGTATAGCCCTATGCCTGCAATTGGATCATGAAATGGATTACTTAGTCAGATTGCCTTGCATTCTTGAATACATGTTGTAATTTCTGCAGTCACTTGTAAACCACTATTGATTCTGCTAGGCATGTTCACATTTTCCACATAGTTTGACAGTCTATTCTATAGGATTGGACAGTACGCGTACAATGACTCAGTATAACATGGGTGATGTAAACGTGTAATATTATGGAACGCTTGATAGATTATCAGTTTCTTGCGATAGCTTATGCTGTACGTACATGATATTTACCGTCCTATAGACTGAGTCGATGAATATGCTCTATACAACATTAATCTAAATCGTTGCCCTAACTGTAACTTGAATATATTGCCTGACTGCCAGAGTAAAATAACGCATCATCTTACCTTATTTAGTCTTGCACAGTTCGTAAATCTACGAGGTGGTAACTCTACAATGGAAAGATATTGTGCAAAATTTAAAATACAGTCTGCGCTAGAATACTACCCTACTTACGACCCAGTATTCAGTGTAGTAGCTGCTAAATGTCAATGGTATAATGTATCAGTTTAGCTTACGCTTTTAATGATCCCATTTCAGTTGGGACGAATGGGTGCCGGAAGATCGTGTCTTAAAATACAACGACGAAAATTTACAACTTCAGAAGGATTTAAAATTACGTTATCCGTAAGTCAATGCTTTTAACTGTGGCTTGTTATGCTGTAAATCCGTAATACTGAATGTGTAGCTTTGTAAATTATAAGGCAAAACGAGGACATCGTAGGTTACACTATCGTTTGTCCATTGACTAGCGTTAACTATAGAGATCGATGGCTTAGTTTGAAATCCATAACCGCCGTCACAGTATAATCTATATGCAATATATTTCATGTGTTTTATACAGCAATGTTAGAAGAACAAGGAAAAAGATGGGCGAAAAGGAGAAAGGTGCCTCTACACCGTCCGCTATCGATAAAGCTACATCCAGTATGCCGTACCAATGACGTTTATTACACGTTTTTACAGGAACTGTAGAAAAGTAAATGACTAATTATATTGTAATGTTTAAAGATATTTATAACTTTATTAACAGGAGTGGAGCCAACCAGAAGAAAACGAGGAAGAAATGAACAGTCCATAGAATCGGTAATGTTCACGTTCAATAGTTTTTTTACTGGTGTTTGTGTAAAAAGTGGTATTATGATATTATATTTTTACATTTCAGTGCTTCATCTTCTAATAGACTAATTTTTACAAAATCTTGATATCTATATATACCGTATTGCCAATAGGATAACTGTAAACATAGCTTAATAATATCCTAACTTAAACACTAAATATATCGTACGTACTATTTATGTTGCAGGAGGACGGGGTAACAGCGAAAGGCGAAATCAAAATTAAACTACCAGAAGAAATGAAACGTTGGTTAATCGATGATTATGATTTCATTAATAGACAGAAACGGGTAAGAAAACGACTCTTGAAGGTTGCTTAAGCTCTCTGCTAACGTTCATTTTACTCCAATCAATTTTTTAATACGATATTTTAAAACCCAGCTGATCAAGTTGCCTAGAAAATTTGCAGTTGATGACATTCTTGACAGTTACATAAAGGAAAAGCGTGGATCACCAGCTGCTGTAAGGTCAGGATACACATGAAAATTTTTCGACTTTTTATTATGTCCTTGATAATAATTTCGTGAATATTATGGATGTAATATTTTGATTAATACGTTATTTGTGCGTAGTGGCTTAGCAAGAGAGATTACTCTTGGACTTCGAACCTATTTCAATTCCATGTTAGGATCCCAACTGCTATATAAATTTGAACGTCCGCAATATGCAGAGGTTAGTCTTTAATCTGACATACTTTTCGGTAAATATTCGACAAGTTTTACAAAAATTTACCGCTATTTTGTTTTACACTTAGATTTTAAAGACAAACTCTAAAGATACGTCATTGTCACAGATTTACGGCGCAGAGCACCTTCTAAGATTGTTTGGTATGTTAAGATTACTTGCTATAGTAATATGATAGTTAAATAGCCAATGATGGATAGAATTATCAGTGATCAGATTATAGCACTTTGAATTGATAAGCTTGCATTACTCATATTATTATGCAATGTCTTTACCTTTTATAGTCAAGCTTGGTAATGTGATGACATATACAACGTTAGATGAAAAAAATATAAACCTTGTACAGCATTTCGTCGATGATATACTTATGTAAGTAAATTGTTTATACATCACAGTACGTAGAGAAAAATTTAGCGAGACCTTTACTTTTACATTATCTATGCAATTAATGCTTATTAATCGACACCTGCCTTTATGGACTTGCATATGTAGTAGTTATTATGATAAAATAGTAACTTGAAATTCTGTATACATTTTCGTCACCTTAGGTATATACATCGAAATGAATCTATATTTCTAACTTCGGAATATGAAACAGCACCACCGGAATATAATAGAAAACTTATCTAAGTACCAATAAATTATTGCTGCTGTTAGGCAGTTACACCTTATAGATTACTAAATGACTTCTTTACCTTAAAGATAATAACGACTGGTTTATTAATTCTTTAATTAGGCGTTTCTGTACCATTTGTAATGATTAAACGAATTGATCGTCGCAGACTGCAATAGAATGATAGCGTTCTTATACTATAATTACGACAAAGAAAATAGGCTAATTTGTATAGTGTTACTTTTCTGTATAATATTAATGACGTCTATGAATAGTATTGCAGTCGTTTTTAGGATGAATAGTACTGAAAGAATGATGATTATTTCGACTTTCAGCACTGTAATTATAACCTGTCTTTTTTTGAGATTTTGTTTGTGCATATTACAGCTACGGTATTAGTATCCTTTGGAATAGTAAATGTTTATTGGTTAGCTGACAAATGAATAAGGATACGATGCATAGCTTCATTCGACACTGCTAGCAATTGCCGTTGTTATATTTATGAAATCCTGTTAATAAAGGATAATAAAATATTTATATCTTTGTCAATATTTTAATACATTAATATACAATCTATTCAGGCTACCACTGGTTGTCTAAGTTAAATATTGTCTCCGCTTTCGGAAAATTTCTCTTATCATAAATTATTAACTTAGAAAAGTTAATATTGTCAGCGGACAAAATGCACTAAAGGTATAGCAATTTTGATTACATTTGGTAAAATCAATAAAATGAAATAATGGAATTGGTTTTCGTACCCGCCATTAAAATTACGATTACATCACAAAGTAATGCTACGATAGCAATTAGTGATAAGGTATTAAATTATATCCTTACTACACTTACATTAAGGAGATTTACTTAACTTAATTTCATCCAGCTGGTAATTGAATATAATAGAAAACAAATAAGACACTGTGGTCATTACTAGTGTTATTGCACTCAAGTAGCCTAAATTTTTTATTTTTTTTACTATAAAACTATTTGCTATATGCGATTGTAATGGTAGCCATTAATTTTCGTGGGAAAGGATGCAGCAACGGAAATCATTTCTAAAGCGAAGAAATCGCCTTTGCTTATAAATTTATCCTATAGCATTTAATTACATAGTTACTACATAATGTAATTTATCTTTATGCTACTCATCTTTTAAATTAAGACACTAGGATACAATGTACGTACTGAAACAGTGGTAAGTGCTACCCAGCCCTACTATTTTTCCAGAGTGTTAATGAATAATATTTTGTAGAAACTTTAAATATAATAAAAACACTTTAAGCGTTCACTTCTAACACCAAGTCAAAAAATTTCGTATTTACAAATATACGTATATTAAAATCATAAACCCTATATAATTGACACAAGACAGAGGGCTTGTAGTGCTATCAAAGGATTTTCTATAAAAATCTCAATCATTGCTATTAGAAACGCGTAAGCTTTCTTTTATTTTATTTCACAGGCATAAATAAAAAAGCAAAGAAAATGACGTACAACTAACCTTATTGCAAACGAAAATACGCAACTAATACAACTTTAGCGCTATGCACGTTTTAATTGTAGAATTTATTGCAATCACATTAATTACTCGAACTGCGATTACTAATAATTCTCATATGCTTCGATAAATTTATAAAGATATAGTAATCGTCATAAGTTATACGCGGATTGTTTGCATTATGTCGCAAAACTTTATATTGTATGCTTTAAACGGAGTATGATCCTTGCTCTAATATTATACTGCAGAATATATTTTCATAGACGTACGATACATTATATAAGTATCATTAGTTCCTAGATTATGGCACCTATATGTTTTGCCATGATTGTCATATTCTACATTGTAGCTGTTATCTAATTTCATAGTGATCAATGATATTATCGCATATATAATAATCGAACGGTGTAAAAATGATGCACCTAACGTATACTTAGTTAGCAAGTTTTCACCAGTCTCACCATAAGCATCCGCGCTAAACCTAACTCGCAGTAACTATCCGACTACACATGCTTAATCTGTGCTGTCTGTCTCTATATAGCTTTCATTTTACTACAGTAAAATCTATCACTTTTATCATCCTTCTTATACCAACTCTACAGTATGTCAACGCTAATGACGCAAACAATTCCAATTTATATTCGAAATACAAAACCATTTCAATAATAAATACTGTAACATTTTTTGGATAGTGAGTATGGCAGTTAAATTTATAGGACTAAAAATGCTATAGAATGCACCTGCTGGAGATGCCCATCACTTTATGAAAATATTTTATCCAATTTATTTCCAGTTACTTTCGAAAACTCTTTAACTACAAATATTAGCGCTTCTTAAAAACTTGTAATTACTTGTATATTCAGTAAAAATATTAACGCTTATAGAATGAATTATTATTATTATTCTTAGAAAGGATAATAAACTCCTTAATTTTTAATCATATCGATCGTATTTATGGTCTTAACGAGATTTAATTCAGTTTATATCCGTTAATGATCGTCTTATACAATCTAGTGATTAAATATAATATAAAGAGACCCATAAATAGATAACACAGGATATTTAGCTAGAAAGGTAACAGTATTTTTGCAACAAACGATATAATATCGATACCGGCAAATGGTACCCGACGGAAGTTCTCTTAAAATGGTTGATTTATCGGTTGCAAGAATCAGAAATGACAATCTGATTTTAGAACATTCGAGAAATATCTGCATCATGAATGTAATCATAACGCTTTTTATTGTTATTGATTTTTATGAATTTCATTAACATCAAGATGTCAAGTCTAACTGATAAATTAATTAATCTGCTTTGCTACCCTTGAAATCAATCTAAATTTAAAAAAATATAATTTGGATTAGTAGATCATTCTGAAGTTGCTTACAAGCTATTTAGGAAATAACAGTATGAGCTTAGCCTCACTAACGTCTTACTTGTAATCAAATACATTAAATTACTACTTTTAAATCTATAATGTTGCTATTTGAAATCATCGATGATTATCGCGTTATGTGTGAGTAACACGAAAGCATGAAAAGGTCATAAGGCTTTTCGTCTCCACTTTGTCAAAACAAGCTCAATCCAAGTGGTCCAATTATTTGTACTACTATGATTCAAACATCATTTAACTGTTACAGCAATCATGATGAACTCTTATTAAGATAATTCTATGTAGTAATTATTATCTTTGATTGATGTAATAGAATACGTTTAAAGACACTAATGAAAACTGTAAAAAATGATTAAAAATAATTCCATCTCCAATTTAAAGTAAATTTTATTGAGTATTATAAAAAAAGACGCACTAGATAGCTAGCAGAGCTATTCTATGAAAACGGTTACATTTCACAATTTGATTGAATTAATCTAACTTGTCACAGTATATTTCAATTTTCTAGGTATCAATGTAACTCGCATTAATTTACTCGAACTTTTTCATTAAACATAACAAAGAAAGTATCCATTCAACTACTTCGCTTTAATAAGAGCCCGATTAATTTCTTCACAATTAATTATGTGATTGGGTTAATCTCCAATCATGTTATCAAAGTAATGCAGTATAATATATGATTTGAGATTGAGTAGACTGCCAATTACTTGTAAATAGGGCAGTGAAGTCAGCGTCGGAATCATCTAATATTAACCATAATATAATAAGATGAAAAACAATTGTTTTCTAGAATTTAATAGCCATATTATTTCTATATTTATGTAATAATACCTTATTCAGTACTAATTTCACAAAGTACTTATAGCTGATGTTACAGTAAAACTTGAAATGAGAAATTAAGAAAAAGAGGCAAGAATAATTTTCCTGAACTTAATACTATGAGGGCACCGGACATTCTGTAATAGGTGTAACTGCTGAAATTGATGGATAGCAGCAATTAGCGATTGCAAGTCGTTTGATAATTTCCCAAGATTTTGCGCGGATATTCGCATCAAATTTCAAAAATAAGAATGGATTGGCCACACTAACTGCCGTCGTTGTTGCGTAAGAGAAAAAGGCTAACAAATAGTACACAAAATGATTTTGACGCAATTGTCTTAAGGAATATCGATTGATGGCCATACCAATATTAGTAGCAAAATATGGCCAAGTAATAAGAAGATGAGAAGCAGTAATTAGTATCAACATTTTAATAAAATTTTTCTTTTTCTGACGTTGGTCTTGATTAAAGTTTAATTGGCCCGGTGGAGTATAACTTTTCATGTATTTGATAATTTTGCTGTATGAAACAATGAATATAGTGGAAGGAACAACAAAATAGCATAATGTTAATATAATAAAAAAGAGACTATTAACTGCTGTAATAGTTGGAAAATCACAAAATTTTCCTTCATCTGGGTAAGTATCAATAAAGATTAAAAAGGGTGATGATACGGCTATCGATATAGTCCAAATTAATACTTGAGAGATGATCATGATTTTATATTTACGCCTCCAGTAAATAAAAGTAATCGGTTTTGTGATAGCTTGAAGGCGATCTAAAGCAATAGCGCTTAGCGTTAAGATAGAGATACCATAGGATGTCATGACTATAAATACGAGTACTCTACATAGCACTCTACCAAGCAAGTGTTGAACATTGATTGCTACTACTAGAATATAACTAATACTGCATATCAATGTTGATAGTATATCAGATATTACCGTAACGCATATTAAATTGTAAATTCTTTTCCGAAATTTGGAATAAATGGCGATGACATATAAAATGAAAATATTAGCAACTGCTCCGAGTAAAAAGATCGGAATTGCACCCATAGAAGCATACGTGTGGATTAAATTGTAATCAATGCCATTAGAATGATAACTAAAATTATTATTTGAAACTGTTAAGTTGATGGCATGCCGGACAATTACAGGCATGATTGTGTATGCAGATCAATAAAATTGAAAGCGATGATTGCTGATTCGTTATATCCAGCGTCTAAGCTTGTTATACAAAGTAACGGTTGCATATATCTTTCCTGATAATTGAATTCAGCGGTTGATGGTTAACCATGCCGTACGCGGTTTGGACTTTAACTGTAGCCTATAATAGTAATACTATATGTTATGTAATCAATTTTTCCTAATTGCGGAAGTAATGGTGAGAATAAAATGCTGATAATTTTCTACGAAGTAACAAAATTCAACTGAATTTTTAAAGCTAAATTCTTTTAGTTAAAATAGCTTAATAAAGCTTCAATGGAGTTTTTCTTTTATTGTTGGCCCATTATCTATTTATATGCAGTATCAGTAATATAAGCTCGTTATGACTGCTTTAGAAATAGAATTCTTTTAATTGGAATTCAATTTTATAGCAATGTTATGAAAAGTTAATCTACTGTACGTATGTAAAATTGATTTATCCTAAATAGCTGACTGGTTGCATTATTCTAGATCACTAAACATTTTAGTAACAAATAAAGAGACTATGGGATCATTGTTATGCATCAATCACGCTTACGTAATATATTATTAATATGAAAATCCGTTGTCAAAACATACTAATAACATCATTGCTAAGGTGATTCATTAATTAAATGATTAGTGGTGTTTTAACTAGCTACCATTAGCTCAACAAATCGTAAATACTGTAGTAGTAATTCTAATTCCTTTGTTAGAAAGCTGCATCGATTTTAGTTCTTTCCCTATTTTAGAGCACAGTACCTCTCGTATATGTGTGTGATTTAAATTTAAAGCTGACATTTTAATAGAAAGACAGAAGCATTTCTTACCAAGTCTTATTCATTTAGGATCCATTAGCCTTGAGAGAAAGTCTTAGTTCTTACTTTATAACTTGCCTTAAAACTGAGGAGCCAATTATTCAATTGAAAAATGTTGTTGATTGACTCGGATCGTGGTTGATGTATGTAAAGGGACTATATAGCGCATTTATGAAATATGTCCTTGTTGCACATTTTGACAGCTGGTCCATTTCAGGTATACTAATGGAAAGTTGAATAATAGGAAACATGCCGTAGGTATAGTCATTTTCTATTTGTGGATTCTTTAAGTCTAGTAGAAAAGTTGTATTTCTGGCGCTCAGTATAGCATACTCGTATGTTTCCTCTTGTAAATGCAAGTATCAAAAAATGAAAAGAGAAATGTCAGCAATTTTATTTATTATCCCTGTAACAACAGGCGATACAATTGTAATGGTGGATACATTCTAACTCTTCCTACTTAATATCAAGTTTTATTTCGTTATCCAATATTTATTAGTTGATGATTCAAAATTATGAACGCAAATAATGACGCCACGCCATTTAATCGCTATTCATTTTTTATATTTCAGTATTGCCAATGACGCGTACACTTTGCTTTATAATCATGGTGTAATCCCAGTTTTAAAGAGAAGGACTAAATGAGTTGATTTGCAAATGTTGAATTATAATTTTGTGTCAATAGCAATGGCAATGATCACCATAATTGATTGAATTATAAGTTCCATTATGGTATTTAAAGTCGAAATACAGTATGCTTAAATTGGCAACTGCCATCGTATTAGTAGAGCGATTTCGTAAGGCTCAGTCTTAGATGCGCAAGTATTTGAGCCTCGTATGCATGTAGAACCTTGTAGAATACTCATTGTATGTCTATGTGGTAATAACTACTAATAAGTTCTAGAATATTCCATGATCGATTCTAAATATGAGCGTTGCTGTCCTATTTTATTAGTTCGCATGTACAAGTCTTAATAAGGTTCTATGCTTTGCTAATGCGCTGTCTTTACATTTGCTGGAGAACTTCTTGCAGACACTGTTACCTATTCTGTAGCCTGTTTTGTTACTTAATGATTGTCAACAGCGTGCAATTAAGTCGGTCGTCAATCTCTTTCTGGTTATCAGCTTTGTACAGATTGTACGTGTATCGGCATCCATGGATGGAGTATTTCCGTAGATATATAAAATTCATATTACCCTTGTGTAGTCTTAGTAGACATACAGCCATTCTCGGTTAATTGTACGATATTGACAGCTTTATCGTATTTTGACTATTGAATATATGAGCTGATTCTAATACACACTATAGAGTAGCCAGTGGGACAACGTGATTCATTGACTATCAACCTGACAGCAAAAATGAACCCTTATTAAAACTGGAATGAATATTCCTATCTTGTGATGGTTGCTTTCATTATAGCAAGCAAATTGGAAGCCTACTTTATAGGGATGCTTCATTGAGGGACATTTGCACTGTCAGGGAATATTCGCTGACTCCAATTTGGTTAACGTGGGAAAGTCAGATGGTCGTATCCATTACAAATTGACTGAAAATATGAATTATTCAATTTGATCGACTTTATGCAATAATGTTTGGACCATTTGCTGGCCCGCTGTGCAGTGTACTGTACTGCACGTCGAATTTTTGGTGTGAGGAAGAATTGTGATCCTATTTGATTGATGTTATTGTCATTGGGTGACGCAGTTGTTGAAACTGTGAAGCCCACGACTTCTTCTAGGAGTCCATGGTAGTACACAGTTGGAAAGAAATTGGAAGAACGATTTGTTCCTTGCAACATCATTTGCAAGGAGTTGAACGAGCGAGCGTTACGAGCTTTACGACGGTATTGAATTTGCTATAGGGTGAAATTTTTATTTTTTTTGTTTTTATAATGAATAAGCTTGGATATCCATGTTGATCCAATGAGTATATCAAGGATATTGAAGAATTTCCCTGCAATCAGTTTTTGGTTTTACAAGCGGTAGGCATAGCCATTACCGCTTTTCCAGGTCAATCTGATGACCAACTCAGTCATTGAGTGAAGATGAAATCACAGTCAGTGCTATCGCGCAGACACGCTTACCGTGGTGGACGTGTGTGAATCGTTACTGCGTCACCATACAGTACAGTAGTGTATTGGCAGTTTGCACAACAATCGTCTGCGGACGGTTGACAGTACCGTACTGTACGTACACCTGTCGAACACTGAAGTGGGTGTAGTACACGTGGTGAGCGTTTGGCGTAGTGTAGCTGAATCGCCACGGGTGACATCTTTTGTGCAGATCATGTGGCGATTGAGGTATGCTGTCCTAGTGTACGGTGTACAGTATTATCTGACATGACCAGGGACAAAGTGACCCTACTGTACACTTGAACCGTACTGGTGTACTGTACTGACAAAGCAACGATGAGTCGATTGAAGCCCGGCTAGAGTACCGTACTGTACAGTACTGTAGATTGCTTTCACTGCACGATACAGTCCGGTGGTGTACAGTACAATACACTGTAATTTCTACCCTACTATGTACTCTACTCTGCTGCACATTGAGCTTCCAGCGGCGAGAAACGTCCTCGATGTGCGTCATTGACGACGCGTGAACATAACAAATAGTGTCAGCACTCATCTTCACTGAGGTGCTGTCGAGTGAAGCGGAGAGGGTACGATACACGCACCAACGTCCTGTCGATCGCACACAGACACAAAGGCCGGCAGCGCCTTCCGCTTTCATACTACTCCGACTGCAGTGTATTCTCTGTGTTAGGACTGAAACAACAGCGCTGGAGGCGGCAGTGGACTGCTGGCATGTGCACTTGTGCAGTTGCATGTCAAAACAATCCATGACGGTTGAAACGCCCCGAGTGACACCCAGTAGGTCGTTGCTTGTAGGTAGCGTCGTCTGCTTTCCAAGTCAGACGTTGGGTCAGGTCACCCAGTCACACATTCCTCAAAGATCTTCCCATCTCCATTCTTGGCCAACTTGACATTGGACGATTGCATTTTACCTTGGAAAAATTGAATCTTTCCACTTTGACTGCAGTGAATTTTGTCAATTTTTCAAGCAATCCTAGTTGAAAATACAATCCAAAACAAGTACAAAATGGAAGCTGTGAAAAAGAAGATGGCAGGCTTGCGAAAAGAGGCGGAAGATGCCTTGCAGCGAGCTGAACAGTGTGAAGACCAATTGAGGGACACTGTGCAACGAGAGGAAGAGGTAAACTAGTTTATCTCCGCTAAAATCCACTAGTATAGCTTCATAAAATACCCTTGACTATCCTTGTTGCTGCCTTGTTGTACAAAGCTTTCAATCCAAACTGGCACCTGCAGCATGGATAAAATTCAATATCCTTTCTTATATCCTACCAACGCTTTGAATTGATTTTTCTCATCAGGCGTGTCCTTCTCCGCCATTTCAAAGTCCTTACTGTACCATCGACTCCATGCAGTCATAAATTGTTTTTCTCCAATCCATTTCACTATCGTCTATCACTTCCAACAGACAACTCTCTTATGTTGCCGTTGCAGAGTAGTCAAAAGACTTTCATTGCCCTTCCATTTACAGTGTATTGACAGTCATCAACATTTCTTCTTTGTTTTTCCCAGTTCTTGCTTTTGGCCCAGTTTTACTTTACACGTCGATAGCATGCAAGTCAAACCCTTCTCCACTAAACTGACCCATCCAAAATTCTATCCGTCTTGCTGCCAACATGTCAAAAAATAAACTTATTTTATTAAGTCATACGGGTGAGCAACTTCTTTAGCAATCGACGCTAATGCCGTACTCTCCTATCTCTTCCATCCTGCTTAGTACAAGTCCTTGATTACTCGAATAAACAGAAGCTGCCTTTGTTCTCTTCTTACACCTTGTAGAGCTGTTCGCTCAATCTGTAAGAGCTTGTCTTCAACTCGTCACGGATAGCCTAACGCTTTTGAATAGAAGCTTAGCCTAAACTCCATGATGCGCTACATTGCCACTCATTTCTTAACCAACTCAAGTTGAGTCGTAAAGGATGATGATTCATTAATTAGTATTGGTTTGAACACATGCAGTGCACCCAACGCTTTGCTCAATCATGACGACTACTTACAGTCAAAATACTTCCTTTACATTTTACCATCAACTGTTCAAAATCGCATCCAATATTACAAACGGTGTATCATTTTTTAGTCATCACTGATTGAAAAGTACAACACATGCGTAAAATCCAGCAATCGATCCTATAAGCTAGAATAGGATTACTATGCTGTACTCGACAATTCAAATTCCTCCGTCAATTAAGAATAATATCCATTACTGATTCTTTAATCTTATCTAGCCTAATCAAAATTCCATATTAACAATCAAAGAGTAGAGTGCTTGAAGAAGGTATACTATCCACGATAAACCGTTGCCTATCGTCAAGGGCAAAAGAAGTAGAAATGTCATTTCAAAGTCTTCTTCGCTTGATCAATTGTATAATCGAGCTAAGGTTGAATTCAGTCAGCAGTTTCTACAACAGTGAATGATGGAGAAAATGAACTTGACGGTCTTCTCCAAATTTTCCTCGTATCTTCCTAAGCGTACTCCTGTGATTCACGACGATGCGTGGATAACATACTACTCTACAATTTGCAACAGACAGTACGGATTAATTCTAACATTTTATCAATGATATGTACTCAGTCTTTGCACTATTCAATTAGCCATAAAACAGTTAAAATGCACATGGTGATCATCGATATTAGTCAATGGTGGTCATTCGCGGTGTGTTATTGCCGATTTCGGCATAGCACGATAGTCCAATTTTGTGGCAGTCGTTTAGACGCGAATGGTTACGTGATCGAGATACTGGACTTCTTCTGACATCCAGTGTATGAGTCACTATACAAATAGCAGATACCCTTGAATAGTAAATATGTACATTAGAGTCTCTACATCTGCAGCACTACACTTTTGACTTGCAAGATGGTGCCGCACTGAGAGTAGTAGTGGAAATTCTACTTCCACACCTACTACGAAATAACTTAATACAGTGAGCGGTGTCTTGATTAAAATCGAATTTTACTTATTAATTCATTGAATGAATACTATAGAAGCAGAATAAAGTCAATTAAATATGAGTTCATTAATGGATTAACTTGATATACTATTTTTTCCATCAGTTGACTATGAATCACGGCGCATTGACTTGTAGTTTTTACCTTTGCACTTATTCATTCGACGGATCACTTCAATGGACTAGCCTGTTGCAAGTTTTATCTTTTTATCTTACGTTATGCAATCGTGTAATTGCCAATGTATGGAATATCCATAGAAATACCGATATTTAGGGTCGATTCTTGGTTTAAAAAAGCCCAAATCTCATGTTATTCTATATTGAAAGGTATCAACTTTGACCGCCCTACTTAATTTCAAAAATCGTACCACTTTTATAACTGACATGGTAGTCTAATACTATACAATTCAAAGCTATTCTAAAGGCGATGAGAAACCCTACATCAAACTTTTGCTCATCCTAAAGGATTTAATTTATAGACCGTGTACCGCAGTTTCCTGATATTGCCATGCATAGTGCCCTTGAACATGGAATTACATGGCACAGTAGTATTGATTTGAAATACTATTAACTCTTGCCCATTAAAGTGAACGAAATTGAAGCAATTTCATGATACAGTATTTGAACGGCCAGTTGAACAATACATCTCGAGTTCGAATGGATAAGTGTGTTGAAACAAGCGAATCGGTATTTATTTTATTTTAAGGTATTAATCAGTGCTATTGGACATTCGCATACCTGTTTTACTTCGATTTCGAATGTACAATGACTAACCTTCAAGTAGAATGCTATGATTTAATATGAATTGAAATGAGAAGCTTTTGACGTGTACTTTATTTTTACTTCAACTTCTGCAAACTGTACTTATCAGAACTTTATAAAGTTGTCAAAAAATTGACTCGGCATACACGCTTGAATAATATATATTACTGTACTTAAAACTATGATCTACAATGCTTTACAAAATAACAAAATATTCACTACTTAGCTATGAAAAGAGAAGATGAAAAGCTACAGCTATTATTACGCTCTATTTAAAATAAAGCTTGAGCTCGTACCAAATTGCAATGGTACTATATGCTGTTACATGTACATCATGACTTTGGGGGGAATTAATACTGGCTCCTTTTAACAAAGCCGCAAGTGCCAGTAATTAATGTACGCGATGCTTCCTAGAAAACGGCCTCCTGAGAAGAGTAAAACTTGAACCACTATTATAGAAATATACTTTCAAACAAATTTGGGGAGATTCATAATGATACGCATGGCACCCAGGCGTAGCGGTTGGTGTTATATTGTTTATTAACAATAATGAAATCGTATCTAATTCAAACACCGGATCTTACCTACGGGATGCATGAATGAAGGTTTTTAAATTTGATATGTAGTATATTCCATAGTGATTACGGAAGGTGAATAAAAATATATCGGAGAACAAATTATAGAATTGTTAGTTAACATTCAAGAGTAAACAACATACGATTAACATCGGCAGCATCATTTTGAAATCATTTCTTCAAATTGAAATACAGCCCTTTAAACCGAAGACTAATAAACAAGACTTTGACAATTTACTGAAAAGTGATTACTGTTAAAAATCCACCCATTGACGTAGTTCCTCCAATTCTAACTTCACTTGCGATCGCTAGTAACTCCTAGACTAACGCTGTAGTAATATGCCATTATCGTTTTCGTTAATAATTTCTATCCAGAACCATACCGCCAACATCAGTTTTTCGTATCGCTGATACTTATACAACAAGTACATTAATTTTGATGTGCGATTATAGGTTAAAGAAAAAATTGATGAATTGAATAAGGAGATTGAAGAAACAGAACAACAATTAGATGATCGTGAAAGTAAGCTGGCAGAAACCCTTAAAACTCTGCTAGAGGCAGAAACTAAAACAGATGAACATGAAAGGTATGAAATTGTAACATTATTTATATATCTCAGCACGCAATGCTGGTGTTAAAAATTTCGTAGAAATGGAACGATTTATTTTATTTTTATGATTCATGCATGGCTATTGTAATCTATATCAACTGATAGGGCACGAGCTGTTCTAGAAAGTAGAACTAACACAAGCAATACTAAGGTAACATTATAGCAAACACCAAATGTAATTTAGCGGTAGTCTTCTATACTTTAATAATTATATTATGATTAATTTAATTCTGTCGTTACTACTGTTTATTTATGATACATCAGTTGGAGGAACTGGAGCGACAATTGAACGAAACACTTGCTGCTCGAGAAGAAGCAGAAACCAAATATAAAGAGGTTGTTTAATATGACATCGAACGGAATAGTATATAGTCTGTGTTTCGCCCTCTATAATAGAATAGTAAAGGTTCGGCAAATACGTATTGACATGAACATACTTTTTTAGATTTCCGAGAAATTGGAAGAATTAGAAAAAGAATTGGAAGAAGAAGAAGAAAAAGCTGATACGGCAGAAGCGTACGTCCTTTTTTGGATTATATTTCCAACGATTCTGATCACTAATCTCTCGTTAATTAATCGAACTAATGCAGGCGCGCGACGCAGCTGGAAAACGATCTCATTTTAACGACAAATAATAAGAAGAGCATGGAAGTCAGCATGATGAAGGTATGTATGGAAGTTGTGCCCGCGACTTGTTCAATTTCAAGCTATCCTGACGAGTTTCGATATCTATTTCAGGATAAAATGAATCACTTATTTTTTAGCAAGTTTTTAACGGAATCAAGTATTAACTATAAATATTTCCTAGGCTCAAGAACGAGAAGAAGTGGCTAAAGCTAAATTAGCAGAGATGGAGGAAAAATGTGCTGAGGTATAGCTTGTCAACCATTGCATCATTCTTTTACTTAAATGGACTCTTTTTAGTAATTTATTGATTGGAAATAATTTATTTTAGGCTGAACAGGAAGTACGTGATGCCGAAGATTCAGTAACACAACTTGAAAAGACTTTAGATGAGCGTGAAGGTAATGCAAGAGTTCATGTACATAATGTATAGTTACATGGCTTAATGTCATGAAGATAGGATATAACGTATTTTAGTGCAAATGGAACACTGTTTCCTGGCTACCAGTGATAGTACCGTAGTTGCATTTGCAGGAGTTAATGTCCGTATAATTTTAATTGTAGATGAACTACAAGAGGAAAAAGAAAATTTGAAAAAAGCTGAAGAAGAATTAGCTAATGCCATGGCTGAACTACAATCTATCTAATTGTAGCAATGCTATATATACTAACCTTACTAAATGTTAACTAATAGGCTGTTACGTAGAGTTAAACCTTTCTTTCCAAAATCTGTAATGTAATTGTAATCAGTCTAATGGGATTTCTTTAAATTTCAAATGGCCTTTTTTTATGTACCAATCAACTCTGAAGAGGGTATTAGGAATAGATTCGTGGTCTGACGTCTCATTTTAATGCTGATTAATTAATTTGTCTTTCTGCAGCCGTTAATCGCAGCCGTACAAAATTTGTACAGTCTGTGTCTAACTCCTGTACTTTAGCTAATTTAGGAAAATATTATATATCCAACCTGCCTATTATTTTTAGGATGTGTATTGAAATTGTGTATGATTCCGTTTTACTTTGGTCTGTTTAATGTAATCATGATTTCATAATTTTTACTTAAAATTTTTCCTTTTCTATCGATCACATTGTAGCTTTTTACAAATGGGAAATTAATTTATCTGGAAGTTAAATAAAGCCAATTAATCGCACTTGCTAGCAAGTATCACTATCTTTAATGACTCCATTAACCTACTACTTTTTTCAGTCACCATTACTTTATACAGTACTATAAATTCTATACTGCAACAATTACAACAACACTACCGTTAAACGCCTCATACAATATCATTACGCAGCTACATTAACACTATCTAGTAAATAGTTTGCTTAATTTTCTATTAATTTACTATTAAAATCTAATTTGTTAAGTATACCCATTATCTAAACCATGCTATACATTTGTCTATCTTTATGACTACAGTATCTTTCCTAAAAGGTTTTCAAACTGAAAATGATAGCGATAAGTGACCAGAATTACGTGTATAAGCTACTGCGAGGTTAGCAATCATGTGAATAAATTACCAAAACACGTAACTGCCTGTCCGCTGCTGATTTTTACTCAACGCAATAGAATGTATGTATGTGCAATAAGTAGAATTGGCTACAAGAAATGGGATTGTGTAGTATATCTACTCGCCGCAAAGCAGTCGCGAATTAAGAAAATTTCGAGACACCAATTGTAGACTACGGTCTATACATGTAAATTTCAACGTCGATGATATAACGTGAGTATGCAACACTACCTCCCAATTTATTAAGCATCATTCTATTATGTAGGCCTAAAGATTGTAGTACAAAAGGCAAGAGACGACCATTGTTTTAATAGAGGAGATGACGAGAACTTAAGATAATAACGGCAACTCAGGGTTATTGTTCGCGAGATTTTTTTAGACAATTAGCCTGGAGCATTGATAAACCAGGTAATTGCATCTAGTTATTTATTGTTAATACAAATGAAAAGTTTTGACTAGTATCTAGCTGATATTACAATAATAGCTGTATGCAACATACGGCCATGATCAAAATAGCATCAAATCAAATGACCTCTTGTTATGCAGATCGGAACTGGAAGCAAACCATTTTCGATTATAAATCTTTAATAAGTAGATAGGTCTTCACTATTCATTGTGAGCAAAGAGTATTAATGAATATAATTGAATTAAGTTCAGTATTAGTCAATCAGGTAAATCTTTCACGGTATGATACTACAGTAAAAATAGAGAAGTATACACGGCCTTTAATTATTTGCACTAATTTTTTACTGTATCAGATATTTTATAGATTAGGAGTGTTTACACCTTTACTATTGCTTTACAAGCTAGAAATCGAAACAATTTCGTTTGCATTACAGCATCTAATGCCAGAATAAATACGCTATTCATAATAATATTCCACAGCTTAGGTATTATTGAGCGAAACTGCTTATTTAGTAATATTGGTAAAACTAGGCAGTTTATGCTTTATGCGCTATGGATCTGCTTAAAATATATTATTGTTGTTAATAGCTATCGTATTTTTATATTCGAAAATATTTATATTTGAAAAATTACTAGAAAAGATGAATATTAGTTAATACCATAATTTGCACATGTAAGAGAATTGATACCTAGTCTTCGAGGCTTTTAATGCTTTATTTCTACACTTTTTTATATGATGAGGCGTTAAAAATCTATTTAAGTTAATGCATAAATTCAATTATATTATAAAATATAACATATTTACATCAATCCATGAACATTAAAATTTTGAGACTAGACTATGATTTTAATTTCAATCCAATAAACATAAAGATACTTAAATGAAGTCATCGGATCAGAACGACAACTGTACTACTATCTAAAAATTGGAATTTGTTTCAATATATCAGCAACTGTTAAGGATAATTTACCTCCTAAAAATTTAGATCCAAAATCTATTAGAAACTATAAAAACTGGAGTCATAACTATTATAATAACCGTACTAGATACAGATTAAAATACGACCTATCAAAAGTTGCTCGATCTCATATTTATGCATCTATATAAGTTTTAATACAGTTTATTGAGATTCACTTGAAAAAGAATTTTTCCACGTAGAGAGAGAAAACATTTAAAATTTTACGCAGTAAGGCCGAATGAGAATAATATCACAATAAATTTTTACTCAAATACATCAGTATTAGTCCTACACATATCAATTCTGAATACCCCCATAAATACAGTTACGAATATTAGATAAATTTATTCTAAAGAGCATCATAATAGCACACCTATAGTAAAGCATGATTTCTTGATTGAATATTGCTAACTACTAGCAATAAAGTAAATAAGAACAAAGTTACTTCCTGTCTATCCATTCATTTTTTACACAATTGTTCCCTTCTTTCCATGTTAAATATCTAGCAATGCCATGCCATACTGAAAAAAATCTGAATGGGATAACAGTAAATACTTTATTAGTGAATATTTACCGTTGATGCTATGTTTATGAAGCCCTATTCAGAAAAAGTATAGAAAGTATAGAATATGATATATAGTGCCGTACCATGCTACAGCACGTATGAAGGATGCACTTTGAGATAATCACAAATAATTTTCATTATCAATTTTAAATGATAGCAACAGAATTAGTGAGAAAGAATATTGAAGCTCGTAAGTTAATATAGATATACCCGTTGTGGATAAACATAAATTGCCCTAAGTTAAACAATAAATTCTGTAAGCAAGAGCATTATTGGAGCCTTAGATAGGAGCTGTTGTGTTGAGTATTTACCTCCTTGCATTTCAGAAACTGAATGAACATATTTCATTAATTAATGGTCTATCTTCTTTCTATTACTTACATTAATTATTGAAATTTATAAGATATTCAAGCTATTAGTACGAGGATAATACCATTAATATTATAAATCATACAACACCATAAATTAGTGAAAATTGAACGCTCTTAAGACTGGATTAAAACATGATGAGATTAAGTACGATCTATCTAATGTACCAATGAAATAGAATATCCTAAAATTAGTAGTATTATCAGAGCAACCTTTGCAACCAGTAGCGGCAATCAACTACATGTATCAATTTCATAATTTAATTGGATTAGTACAGAAATTATGATTTAGCATTTTATAATCTATCCACATTTACTTTTATATACGGACTTGTAAGCATTTATCAAAGATTATTAGCACAAGGTACAGGGTATCTTACCATAAAGATCAGTTATTTTAGCTAATTATATAATTTATCAAGTAGAGCCATTCGGATTGGATTCTCGTCTACTAATAGGACAAGACTCTTTCAATCTTATACTATATCATCAATTTTTGCTGCAGTGATTTTCAAAAGGACTGTAAAGTTTGATCTGATGGATCTAAAGATTTAATTTCTTCTTTCAGCTTCGGGAGTTTGTTGTGTTATAAAATTTCTACTACTTTCTACATTTAAAATAACACTTCGGGGGTATTTTGTACTTATTCGTGGGGATTTTCGAAATTTATAATTGCATACAAGTGACCAGATACCTCGTCGATAGTCTTCGTTAGCGGCAGAATAGATAAGAGGACTCAAACATGAACTACCGACAATCAGTGTCTTGGTAAATCGAATAACATCAATATTATAAGATATAGCGTTAAGAGCATATAACGTAAAATAGAGTTCGTTTGGTAACCAACATATCATAAAAGCTAAAGCTGATATTGCTACCATGATAGTTACTCTACGTCTAGCTCTGATTGAACTGGGATTCCTTCCGACTATTGACATAGCTGGTGCGCGATTCCGATTGGACTTGGCTACCGATAATCCAGGTATCGCTGTAATAATTCTCCTTATTATGTCAATATAACATGCTATAATGATGATAAACGGTAGAAATAAACGTAGAATTTCCATTACAATGAACAGATATATCCCTGGTGGATGTCGAATGAAAGAATTCCATTTACATGGAGGCTGTTCATTGCTAACATAATCTCGTTGAAGCAGGATATCAATTGATATAACAGTATTGAATACCCATAGACCGACTAAAAATCGTTTAGTTCTTTTTATAGTTACAATATTTCGGTATGTATATGGTCTAGCGACAGCAATCCACCTTTCGATAGCAATAGCGGTAATAGTAAAAACTGAGCCAAAACCAAAATAAAAAATTGCATATTGCGAAGCAAATACGCGGCAAAATATTGTTCCCGAGACTTTGTTTTTCGGATAAGTGTAATTTGCAGCTGGAACAACAAATGAAGGGACAGCAAACATCATTATTCCTGTAGCTGCATCCATCACTGCCATGCTTAAAATTAGCAAATTTAATCCAGATTTCATCATTCTCCCATTTTTTGTTGTTACGATTACGAAACATACCATAAAATTACCTAAAATGGCCAAAGAAGCTAACACGCCATAAAGTATATGCATAAAACGTTTTACATGCCAATCGCGACCAAATTTATCTTCATCATCAAGAAGACTCTGATTCATCGACTTATTCAATATATTTACCGCCATAGTGAAAGTTTTGCTTTCTGAATTAAAATTTTCTTCAACTGAATTGGATGCGAAATACTTAATTTTCGATCGCTTTACTGCTAAGATATCATTTACTGAAAAGTCTGCGAAGGACTTCAATATTAGTTTTATTGTATTTTAGATAATATACGTC